ATTGTGGGATAATTACTTGAATAAATTTATTGGGGCACAGAAGACGGCAACAAAAATCGATATGGTTTTCTCTTGGCAAGATTCCATTTACGGTATAATCGAGGAATAATCTGCATCTGTAATTTTGATTAAATATTTATAAAAGAGGCTTTAAAAAACATTTTTTATTAACCTGCTTTTTATTACAATGAGCAAAATGTGGTAAATATACAGGGTGTTAATTAAGCACGTCGGCAATCTTGAAGAGTCAAATCTCTGAATTATTTTAATCCAAAAAGGTTGACAGTTTTTGGGTAGAGGATATTGGAATTTGAGAAATATTTTACCATTTTGCAATAACATTGAAGAGAACGATCAAACTGAAGCTAATGGTTTATCTTTATTCTACATCAAACATTTTGGAAAAGGTAGTTTCTTTTCATTTCAACACCCTGTGTCTCGAAAACCAGACCCTTGTTTATATAATCTTTTTGGTTTAAAATCAATCAAAGAATCGCCCCTTAAAAATTGTCGACATATTTAATTAACACCTTGTATATTTCTTAGAGTAGTTGGAGTAAACCATTTTATTTAAAAGCTGTTCGTTTATTTAAATTCCAAAGAGTGAATGCAATTATATATTATACATGCATAAATGGATGCATTTGTGGTTTAGTGCGTCATATATTGATTCAAATTAACTATTTGTTATGGTTTTGTTGTTCATACCGAGCACATTCAATCAAAGTAAATTGAAAAATTGCTAGCAGTTTAAATTTTTCAATGACCTAATTTGAGGCATCATTCTATTCAAAATTTCGTATATTACAATATGCTTTGATTCTTTTAAATTATATTTTACTAAAAACTATTCGGCAATTTTATATAATGTGTTTAGGTGGCCTGGATTCAAGTTTTTTTATCTGTAACCGAATTAAACTAAAGTATGAGTAGAGCAGAAGTTTGGAATTTCATCAAAAATTATTTTATTTTCATGTATTTATTGCTATCTGAACCACTACACTGATTTTATAAGCTTTTTTAAATAAATGAAACTCCGTTTTGACTGAATGAGTAAATGATGAGCTCAAAATTAAATATTGAAAAAATATTTGTTTAATGCTACAACTTGTTTTTTCTCAAAGTTTTCAATATTTTAGTAGTGGTGGCAAAACTAAAGTAATTTGTACTCATACTTTGAAGTTTATTTATTGTTACTAATGTCTGTTTTATCTAACTCACAAAACAATTTATAGAGGTGTATAAATAAGGTAGCAAAGAGATTACTCCATTTCTATAGTTTAAATAAAAGCACAATTACATCTTTCTCTTATCTTAGCCAGGTCTTAACGAAATACACATACTGTGTTATGTATATGTGTACGTAGCGTCATCGTTATTTGTTTTTCGTTCAAACTGAAATAAAATGGAACCTTTCTACAAACTTCTTTAAAATTTTGCAGATGATTTTATTGAAATATCTAATACCGTTTTGAGCCCAAAAAAATATATTGCAGAATTGTTCATCATGAGCTAAATATGTTTTTTGAATAGTCTAATATTATTGAATACATAGTTTCAATCGATGTAAAAAAGGTACACTATTGCCAAAGTTGGTCTAAATACTTAAATGAAAATATAATTCCACATTGTTTGCTAGATGGTGTATTAAATCGACCTTTATTTCATGTTTACAAATGTTTATAGTCGAGTAGGTATAGTTTGTAACATTTGTAATTATTTCAAGTAAAATAAGTTTCAGCGGTAAAATGCATTAGATTAGGTACCTGCTCCTAATCATTTTAGTCTTATTTTATCTATTATTTTTTATTTATTCATTTTTATACTTCAGTGTAACCCATAATGTTTAACAATAATTTTGAAATATAAAAACTTTAATGATAATAAATTTATAACCACATAAAAAAATAAAAATATGTTCTTTGTTCCACTTACATATATGGACATTGAATCAACAAATTTATATTTGTTTAAACGTTTGGCCTATAAATAATTATGACTAATACTTTATAAAAACAATTACGATTTAAATATTTATTTTATATTTGTGTACACGTAATATGTAACATACTTTTATGGCATTATTGTTCTGATAAATTATTTATACAAGTTATTTTATTTGTGAAAGTGCATTAAACTTTATTTAAGTACGTACTAGATCATTATATTATAAAACTTTGCTGAATATTATCTCCTACAATAATACAAAGTTAGTTAAACGTCTTAATAATAATCCACACTAAATTGTTTACGGAAAATAAATGTTTGTAAACTATGTACAACATTCCCGTGGTATTCCTAAAAATAGAAATAAATGAGGTACGGAAACAATTACAAATAGATATTTTTTTAATATAAACATATTTTTTTCCTTAATAGTCTTTAAAGAAATTAATATATCTTTACATTATGGTGAAACCGGAACTTAAACTGTGTGAAATATCTGTCTACAATAAATGTAAAAGTATATACAACGTGGTAAAAAAGTTCTGCATAAAATTCATATTTTCGTTAAACAAATTTTTTTTCGAAAAACGGTGAGACCCGTCGATTTTTATTTGATCCAGGGCACTTTGTTAAGTGGAAATAAATTTTTTTTCGATAATCCACTTACCGCAGCGATGACATAATTTTTTTTTAAATGACAACGCATATTTTTTTCGTTCGAAATTGATGACAGTGATAATTATCTAAACAACGGTGTGAAAATTTCGATGTCTTACATAACAATTTTTTTTAGAAAAATGCACCTTAAGTTCTTATAAGTGATAATTGTCTACTTACACTATTAATGGCTCCGAAAAGGACAAAGTTGACAAAATTACATTTCAAACGAGTAAAATTACACTAATGTTTGTGTAAGTCTAGCGAAATTGTTCGAATTGCCCACCCTGTACCATTTGGCATTGTCCTAAGCGTGTGTAAACGCCGTCTACACTTCGTTCAAGCATTCCCGGGTCGATTTGATTTATTTCAAAACGAATACGGTTTTTAAGTTCTTCCAAATCACCTGGTCTGTTTGTGTACACACGCGATTTCAAATAGCCCCACAAAAAAAAGTCTAGAGGTGTTAAATCAGGCGAACGCGGAGGCCACTCGATTGTTCCGCGTCGCCCGATCCACCGGCCAGTAAACGTGTTATTCAAGTACTCCCGTACTTGCACTCCATAATGGGGCGGTGCACCATCCTGCTGAAACCAAATTCTTTCCTCAGGAATATCAGGATCCTCGTTGTTCGGGAATAACTCTGCTAAGCTTGGGACCAAATCGAACCGCAGGAAATCCAAATAGCGAGCAGCAGTTAAATTTTCCTCGAAAAAATACGGGCCTAAAATACGACGCCCTATTATTCCCGCCCAAACGTTCACCTTTCGGGGGTGCTGATGATCTACTTCTTGCACCCAGTGCGGGTTTTCCTGAGACCAATACCGGCAGTTATGTCGATGCACCGATCCATTAAGATAAAAAGTAGCCTCGTCAGAAAAAATTATGTTCTTGAGGAAGTCGGGGTCTCCGTTACATCGATGCATTAAATCTTCACAAAAGTGGAGACGGCGGTCTGGGTCGTCCTCAGTCAATGCATGTATCAAGTGACCCTTATAGGGGTGAAATTTCTCTTTTTTGAGAAAGTTCACCACAGTTACATGTGAAATATCATTGTTCAATGCAATCGACCTTGTACTAGAATGAGGGTTGTCCTGGAGCTCCACCAGGATATTCAATCTAGTTTCATCATCTACTCTAGGACGACCCGCACGAGGAGCATCTTTCACACTACCAGTTTCCTCAAACCTTGCCAGTACCCTACTAACCGTAGATTGCGTAATTGGTGGTCTGTCAGGGTACGTTGCATTAAATAATTGGCAAGCTTCTTGATGGGTTCGTAACTTATCGCCGAAACCAATCATCCTCAAAATATCAATTCTTTCGCGTTCACTAAGTTTTGCCATTTCGAATTAAACGATTTCACCAAAGAATGTTAAATCGGTACTGATTTTTAGTCTTCAATATTTCAGGTAATCTACTCCTTTCAAGTAAACATTTCTTTGGATCTTTTTTTTTTAGGAATTTATCGGCAAACTCGAAGACAAAAAGTCGACCTTAATTTGCTACATACTATTTGGATTTTGTGCGGTTGAACTTGGTTCTAAATTTTGCAGTTTAATCAGGATCCTGACAATATCTGATGAATAATTCCGCAAATATTACATAACACCAGTGGCAACTTAAGTTATCTGAAATGCTTTCTGCCGAATAAATTTTTTTCTAAGGCATTTGATCTGTAAACAGCAAATTATTGCATTCAAGAACTTAAGGTGCATTTTTCTAAAAAAAATTGTTATGTAAGACGTCGAAATTTTCACACCGTTGTTTAGGAAATTATCAGTCATCAATTTCGAACGAAAAAATATGCGTTGTCATTTAAAAAAAAAAATTATGTCATCGCTGCCGTAAGTGGATTATCGAAAAAAAATTTTTTCCACATAACAAGGTGCCCTGGATCAAATAAAAATCGACGGGTTTCACCGTTTTTCGAAAAAAAAAATTGTTTAACGAAAATATGAATTTTATGCAGAACTTTTTTACCACGCTGTATAATTAATGTAAAATTTAAAGTATAACTCATTCCCTTACTCTTACGCTGGCAATGGTATTAATGTCAATAATAATTTATAATTGTCCAATATTTATTTCACTATCAAAATTTTGAAGAAAAATACTCTAGTAGGTATAGAGTAATTGAAAACGCAAAGAAATAATACTATACTTACAATACATAGAGAAAAAACTCAGTAATTTACAAGTTGAAGCGTAATCCGGGTATAATATACTCTGATTATGCTTAATATATAGTTTTTAATTGATACTGGAAAAATATATGATTTAAATTATCTTTAGTCTGCATTTTATTTACATATTTTAAATTTTTTTTGATATAAGCTATTTCTGTAATTCATTTCTTAAAAGATTCATACATTTATACCTTTTCTTTTTTGCAGATCTTAAAAAATGACGGATACTAGCCAGGCGGAGCTTCCGCCTCAAACCAACGGTGTTATAGATGGACTGGATGACGATGAAAGAGCCAAAATGAGACCGGTTGATATCGACGCTGACGTCAGAGAGATGGAGAGGAGAAAGAGAGTGGAAATCATAATGAACAGCAAGGTATTTAGGGAAGAACTTGAAAGAATAATCGAAACACAATTGAAAGACGGCTCGGGTCCAAGCGGATTATTGCAGCAGATTTCGGATATGGTGGGAGTCAATAAACAAGCAGGAAATGTTTTCAAAAGCTCGAATTGTGTAATACCGATTAATGACATAAGAGGAATTGAGGCCATGGGGTATTCTAAAGGAGAGAAAATATTACGATGCAAACTGGCTTCTTTGTACCGATTGATCGATTTGTATGGTTGGGCTCATGGATCCACAACTTTAATAACTGCCCGGTTGAACCAAGATGACGAACAGTTCTTGGTCAACCCTTACGGAATGCTCTTTCACGAAGTTACTGCCTCTAGTTTAATAAAAGTAGATATGCAAGGTGGTGTCATAGAACAGGGCACCACAAACTTCTCTGTCAATATCACAGCGTTTTCACTACATGCCGCAGTGCACTCCTCACGACCTGATATCAAATGTATTATTCATATCCACACACCTTCGGTTATAGCAGTCTCTTCTCTTAAACAGGGCCTCATGCCGTTGAGTCAGGAATCCGTAGTAATAGGAGAAGTAAGCACACACACTTACCTCGGCGGTTATCTCGATCCCGAGGAAAAAGACAAATTAGCTAGGAACCTGGGACCGATCAATAAAGTTCTACTTTTATCTAACCAAGGAGCGCTGTGCTGTGGGGAGACGATCGAAGAAGCCTTCTACAATGCCAGAAATACCGTCCTTGCCTCTGAATCCCAGCTCAAACTACTTCCAGTAGGGATAGATAATTTAATTTTACTAAACGACGAGATTAGGAAGAGAATTTACGATGCAGCTCATAAAGCACCAGAGAGCACGCCTAGACCAGATCAGCCATCGATTTTAGAAGGGAAGGTGGAGCGCAAATGGAGAGTTGGCGGTGTGGAATTCGAAGCGCTCATGAGAATGTTGGACAACGCTGGATTCCGCACAGGATATATTTACAGGCATCCTTTGGTTAAAGGAGAACCACCGCGACCAAAGAACGACGTTGAATTACCCCCGGCAGTTTCATCCCTGGGATACCTGTTAGAAGAGGAGGAGCTTTATCGACAAGGGTAAGTGTACTTTTATATGATAGCACTTATTAAAAATCGTGTTGATATCATTAAGTAAAAAAAAGATGTGTTAATGTTAATGTGCAGGAACTGATATACAGGATATAACTCTGAATAGGGGTTACATTTTTACGAAAGCTATCTTTTACCTTTATAAACACATACAAGTTTCAACTTTTCTTTCGTAATTTTTATACACCGTTACTGAACATGCTAATGTAACCTCACAACCATGAGCACATACCCAATTACAGCATGTATTGTTGTCAAATCTTATCGTTCTTGACTCATACACATATGTTTTCGTATTACACAAATTTAATAATGTAAACACACAAACACACCGTATCATTATTAGATGCGAAAAAAATAACGTCACTAAATACCTTTTTGAATTTTATTATCAAATTAAACTTAATAAACTTTAACACTTTATTCTAAAAGTTCTATTTTGATTCCAATAAAATCTAATATCTCACGTAGAAAGTACTAACCGTATTATAGTTGTTACGATATCAGTTGGAACCGCATAACAACATTTAACTCATAAACTCTATGGAATCCATAGGCGTCCAGAAAAATTTTGCCATGTCTTGTCCAGATATATTATATTCCGAGCTATATTCCTACGATATTCTCTAATTTTTTTGTAAATAATCTTCCCGAAGTGCAACTATACGTCGTGATTCCATAGTTATCATATGATTATCAAATTTTTTATGTTTAAAACAGCATTGTAATAAAACATGTCGTAAAGTATCTAAAGATTTATAATTATAATCAGGATAATCGCTTAATTTATCTCGAATCATGTTTAAAGTAGGAACTTTATTTTCATTATACATATTGTGCGCCATATTACATCTCTGGGAAGATCGTCAATGTTCTTTAATTTTATATTTTTCCGTTTCCTCTTTGTACCGTGATTAATAACGTCTCCTTCAATTACGCGATAAATTGTCGTTTTTGATATCTTAGTTAATTCGCTAATCCTTTTTCTAATTTTTTTTTCACATTGTTCACTATTTTCTCTTTTCAAACATTCGTATATATTTAAAATAATACGTTGACCTTGTACGTGTAAATCTTTGTTTTTAAACTGAGTTTGTTTCGATGCTTTTGACAAAAACCGGCTCGACTATTTTGAGATTTTCCCGGATTATTTCGTGATCTTCCGTTTCAAAGGGTCTCCAAAAAGCCATGCTAAATTACTAGATAATTACATATAATATTTATTTTAATAACTGTTACCCTTTACTGGTTACGATATGAACAAATAATAATATTAAATAATAACACAGGTCAACAAGGTCAAGATGCAGACACATCCGGATCTGACCGCAGAATTGTTCTATCACGTCAGGTTTTTGAGATATTCTAACCTAAAAGTGCAAAAAACACTGTTTTTCGTCATATTTGAGGTTATGTAAGTAATGCCATCTATTCTTTTTCAAAAAAAATACATATAATTTAAAAGTACAAGGTTCCCTCTTTCGATTGCCATTGAGTTTGCTCAAATATCTTCCTTTTTTTTGTTGTTGGGATATCACATGTTGAAATTTCTAAGTTTATCAGTTTCTTATTATGCGAAAATCTACTAAGGATCCTTAGACGTCAAACAGTTGATTGCAGTTCAGAAACTTCATACTCAGAAACTTTCAATACATATGAACTCAAACTCCAAATCCACAAACCCACAATCCTTAAACCCACAAACCCCAATCCCACAAAACCCGAACCTACTAACTCCAAGCTTACGAACCCCAAGCCCACCAACTCCAAACCCACAAACAGTATGGGTATGAAGTTTCTGAATTGCAATCGACTGCTTGATGTCTAAGGGATCCTTAATAGATTTTCGCATATTAAGAAACTGAGAAACTTAAAAATTTCAACATGTGATATATCAACGAAAAAAAAAAAAGATATTTGAGCAAACTCAACGGCATTCGAAGGAGGGAGCCTTGTACTTCTAGATTCAATGTATTAGTTTTTTGAAAAATAATAGATGGCATTACTACATAACCTCAAATATGACGAAAATATGACGAAAAACAGTGTTTTTTGCACTTTTAGGTTAGGATATCTCAAAAACCTGACATGATAGAGGAATTCTGCTGCCAGATTCGGATTCAGGGCACCTAAATCCTTCGAGAATGTATATTAGCGTGTCTGCTTCTTGACCCTTGTTGACCTTTGTTATTATTTAATATTATTATTAAAGTTTCTGCTTCCAAAAAAAAAGTTAAATTTTGTTGGTCTGTGTAATTAATAATACGTATTATACCAACAATAAATATACCACGCCAAGCACTGCTCTGGCAAAGCCAAGTGAATCGCGTTCGACACCAAACTAATTATAGAATACCATGCAAAAAATTATTTATGACCTAGTGAACCAATAAAGGTGGTTTGACGAGCAGTGTGCCGCCGTCGATTCTACATCAGGTGGACTGGTCTAACCATACCGGACTCGCCCAATAGCTATTTGAGTGTAAATTAAGAGACAGATCACGGCTAAAACATAGGAAAAAATTTCAAGAGAAGTGCAGACGGTCCTGTGCTTTAAGATTCACAGGTTCCAATTGATATCGTAACAACTATACAAACATCTTTATGGTCATTTGCCATTACTCCTTCGCATTTATGATTGGACGGAAGACAAGTCAGAACTTCTTATGTTTGATAATTTATTTCTCTGTGAATTGTGCTGTACCCTACTTTTTTCTTTCTCTCATCGATTAATTAATGATTCAAGTAAATGTCTATATTTTTCCCATCTTACCATTTGCATTTTTTCACCCGTAATTCAATTGTAAGGTATGTATCATAGCATTTCGCATAAGAACTTATGTTAAATATTCAAATTTTTGGCATTAATTAAAAACAAAAACAAATCGATAAATACTTCGAGAATAATTCACAAAATTTGATTTTGCATTACAAAAATAATATATCTCAATAACAAGTTGGCTGCTTTTTCCTAGCACCTGATTCTCCTTAAAGGTGTCTCTTCTTCTATTTAGAAGTTAATATCGTCAAAGTTGAAAAAACATCTACGTTGTCGAATAAAGAATGAATCATAGACTGGAATATGTATAATTTTAGAAGCAATTCAAGTCCGAGTTCAGTAAAATTAAAACATGACAAACACATAAATGTATAATAAGAGATAAAAAGTATCACTTATACAAACTTTCTGATTAATATTAATGCAATCTTCGTATTATGTAGTTCTAAACATTTTATATATGTATTATGTACATTTATATAAATTTTTCATGATGTAGAAGCTACTCATCCATTTTACAGATTATTTTATATCTCTAAAATATGAACTATTCTACACAACCTAGTTCTATTTTTTCATGTTTACTACATTTGAAAAAAGACGATCATGTCAAAGATAATAAAAAACTAAGGTGATAAATTTTGATTTTATGGGGTTTTATAAATTATTTTTATCAGGAATCAATTTCAAAACAAAGTCATAAAAATTAAATATTGACTTTTTTTTTTAATCTAACAATATGTAATTTTAATATTTCACCCCATGTTAGAAGGATGTTGACAATGAACTGATGAGCAGGGCATTTATGCATTTTTATTTTTTAAACAAATCGCTGATAAACCGTAGCAAAGTGAACTTTGATCAAATACTTTCTTAGGTGTCATAGGTTTTTTTAGGTGGCTTATGAAATAATGTCCTATTTGTCCAGGTTGCGTGGGCAACAATCCTTGAAAAATTTTGTTCATCAGTGCCTTAAAAAAACGTACATATTAATTCATCCTCTCTACATGCTGATGAAAAGCAGCATGTTGGCCATCAGAGGGTATATAACTACGATTAACCTCCCTTTTTCACCAAGATAACTGGTCTGACAGGCCTGAATTTTATTGTTGTGTGGACAGGCCATTAACATTACCCATAAAGGATAGATGGCACTGATTAATGAAATTTTTCAAGGATTGGCGCAATATACTTATTAAGTAATAATTGCTTAACGAATTAATATTTTTTTTAGACTCTGGAGGAAATTGGAGGGCGGAAAGAAGGGACACGATCGCAGCCGTTGGTTAAATTCACCCAACACTTACCAGAAGGTGGAAATATTGGAAACTGGAACTCCTGATCCCAAAAAAATTACAAAGGTAGAATTTATTAAATTTGAAGATAAAAATTAATTTTATCATTTCTGTTTGGTGAGATAATGATTAAGGGAGATGACTACTATTTTTGTCGATTCTTATACAAATAAATTTCTTGAGTGCCTGGTTTATAATCTTGAAATATTTACAAAAATAGAAAAATGATACTATATCAATTTTAATGTATAATTGTGGAACCCTAGATGTAATTCAGCTCATTTATTTTCTTTTAATTAAATAGGTATTAAAATAGATACTTAGCAAGAGTAGAAATAGAACATTCCGTTGCAAAATTGTCTATTTAATATTTGCAATTTTTTGTCTGTTACATTTAGTACAATTACTAACTTGTTTAACATAACTGAGAGTACAAGAAACTGTCCATTATTGAAATATATCTTGAGGGCTATCATCTTTCTTAACCATTTCATCTCGTTGAATAATTATCGTATGAAATAATAATTCATTTAGTACATTCCTATAGCTGATTATTATATAAGGCTATTTAGTAGGTGCTTTCAGGTACCGTACATTCTCAAACCTTTATGTTTATCCAAAGAAAAATGTTATCGTTGCCATATAAAGTCTACTTTCGCGCTGTTGCTGGTATATGGTTTGCTAAGTGAAGCTTTATGTTATGGAATTATATTGGGCAATATAATAATTTTATTTAAACGTTTGTTGCAATATTTTTTTTAGGAATATTTTATCAATCCTTTGATTTGTCTTCTTTATTTCTATGCTACAATAATTGGGAAATTTCGGAAAGGAGGAAATCTCACCTAAGGCCGGTTTTTGGCCAAATTTATTTTTGGCTGAAAAAATCTGAAACAATTTTTTTTACTACCTACTAATCGTTTTCACCCTAAACGGACCAACCCCCTCACCCTCCTTTCCCCCTCCACCCCCTTAAATGAGATGACACACATTTACATTGAATAAAACGAAAAAGAAAAATCAATAATAGTAGTAATTCATAGCTACTGTGAATTTCGTGATTCTGAATTCATAATTGTATTCAGTGCTACAAGAAACAAATATTTGAGGATTATGAAGATCTTTTTAATTTTTTTGTCCGCCATATGGAATTACGTCATTTTGAATTTAGTAATTCTGCCTTCAGATTCGTAATCAGAGATCCATAAAACTCCACTACACAAAAATTCATGCATTTTAAAGACATTTTAATTTTTTTGTCCGCCATTTTCAATATTTAGAGTCCAGATTCGTAATCATATACCCAAAAAACCCCATTACAAAAAATTCATGCATTTTGAAGACATTTAAATTTTCTTGTCCGCCATATTGGATCCGCCATTTTGAATTTCGTGATTCTGAGACCAGATTCGTGATCAGCGACTCAAAAAACTCTTCATATGTAAGATTCCTATGAATCTTACATATGAAAGACATTCAATTCCTATGAATTGAATGTCTTTCGCATCTCTAAGCTCTTTCCTCTAATAAACGATGGTTTCCCCGGCATTTAAGGGGGTGGAGCGGGAAAGGAGGGTGAGGGGGTTGGCCCGTTTAGGGTGGAAACGATTCAGTATTGCTAGTATTTGACTAAAAAAATTTTTTCAGATTTTTTCAGTCAAAAATAAATTAAGCCAAAAACCGGTCTTAGCGGCCCTCCTCCTTTGATTCAATAAACGTAGATATTTTGTGCACTAGACAGAAAAGGCTTATATGAAGTTTTTTGTCAATTTTTAAGTAATTTTGTTACAAGTTGAGACATTTGAATTTTAATTTTTACAAGCTTATTTCCTAAGTAATTAATTTTAAACACACATTTTTCTGACTGTTGATAATTCTGGGAGTAAAAGAGACTATTCATTTAATTTACATCTCTATTTTCTCTGCTTGAATTGTTTAAATTTTTTGAAAGTTATAAAATATTATTATCATGATTCGATGTTATTTTTAACTTTTACTATATTTCCCATGGTGAGTCAAATACTGTGAAAGAGGGTGTTACCTCAAATAAAAAATTAGTTGTGTTAACACAAAACAAATTGACAAAAGTTAATTCGTATAAATGTCATGGCTTATCTATATCAGTTGGGGAAATTTTTTATTTATTTCTACTGCTACTCAAAGTAAAAATCTTAAAAAATATAAAGGCCTTGATTTTTTCCATATACCATCCTTCAGGACTAGATTTTGATTATTACGTCCTTTATGCATGAAAATATTAATAAGGAGGAATTCAAAAGGATACTGTATAAATATTTTCTAAAAGCTTAGATTAGTAATAAGTAAATATAAGTAAATTATATTATACAGTTTTTTTATGTCAGGTGTGTTGTGCATATATAAAAATGATGTCATAAATATTTAGTATAGGAAGGTGTAACTTGTACATTTTATATGATAAGACATTATTTACAAGTACACACCTTATCTGCCGATATATATTGCAATGATGTGCCATCTTATTTTTTATTTTAAATCTGTGTCTGACGTAATATATCCACATTAAAATATTTCTCTCTAGACTGATATTGAAAAAATATAATGCTCTGAATTATATATTTAATAAAAAATATATATGTGCTTTAGTGATATAATATGCTTAGCTTAAATAATAAAAAGCATCAGAATTAAATCTTGTATTAATCAATCTCCTTTAACCTCACTTTGCATAATATTAATCCACAGGCAAAGTTTGGCATATATTTAATTAAAGTTTCCAAAATTCATTTAAATAATGCTTCTGTTAACATGTTTCACAATCAAAGACGTAGACGCCAATGTAGCAAATAATTTTTTGTTATTTCAATATTACATATTTGAAAGTTTGGTTTAAAAATGGCGTGTATGTCTTGGTAAATATGTTCTTTGTAAAAGTCGTAACAAATAGTTTTATTAACAAAAATTTTGCACTCCAGGAAAACCTTATTTTTTTATGTGAGATGTTCCGATTTGTATATGAACAGGCCATCAATAAAATACACCGGAAAACAAATATAATTTTTTAATTAAATTGACCCTAAAAACTCGCATATTCGCCATACTAATTTCTGTAAAAAACTATTCATTTTTAAAGTTTAAATATCAATTTAAAAATGTACAGTTCCTGTTATATTTTTGGTTGTTTCAATTAACAATTTCTATTTTCAATTAAAAATAAAGTCACTGTTGGCACCTAAAAAAGCCTTGCTTTGCAATAAAAAATGTTTAACTTCATTTGTTTTTTATTTATTGGCCTCTACACCTGTAAATCGGGTTTCCCTATATTGATTGATATTATTATTAAGGTTATTAGTCGAAGTAAAAATATTTACATTTTTTTTTTAAATTACCCCGATGTCTTTTTTTGCTTGAATATAAATACTTTGGGCTTTGCAATAGGTATTGAACACTTGTAAAAGTGTGCCCGTGATTTGTTGTACTTGTCAAGCTTTCCAAATTATGGCAAAACCAGTACATTATAATGTTGACATAAAACAAAGAGCCGGCACACGAAAATTGATTTGAGTATTGAGAAAATAACATAATTATTTAACATTACTAATGTGCTGGTTTTGTCTTTCAGTGGGTTGCGGACGGATCTCCTAGCCATTCCAGTACACCGGTGAAAATTGAGTCAGCTCTCCAGTTCGTTCCTAAAAATACTAATCCGAAGGAATTTAAACAAAAGCAGCAGCAGGTAAGTTAAATTTTACGTCATATTGCTATATTTTCTTTATTATACAGATTGTTTACAAACTTGTAAGATTATTTTTTATGGATAACTTATCTTGTTATATTTAATCATAACACAAATAATAAAAAAAAAGATTATTGTGATACCGACTTTACTTATTAAAAAAGCGCGAACGTATTGAAAACTCTTGGAGTCTCTAGGGAATTACACGTCGTATTCTCACGTGATGTATCGATGTTACCACCTTAATAACCATTAATAACAAGAATACTTTATTACTACTAGCTTACATATGCTAGACTAATATGTAAACAAAATATTCTTTTAGATACACAAGTGTGACGGTTAAGAAACAATTAATTTTATCACAAGCAGTAGGTCATAGGATACAGTACGATCAGAAACAAAAGATAAGCGATATTAGATAGTCGAATTTTAAATTTAAATTTAGCACTTAATACACTCATAAAAAGTTTTACTATTAACATCTATATACATGGAAAAAAAAGGTGATTTTACAAAATGTTGGCTTTGGTTAGTGATATGGTTGCTATCCTTAAATCACATATTCTAAACTATTATTGCATCATAACACTTAAGAGGGCTCTGTAGCAAATAGCCAACCAGCAATTCATTTTAACGCAGATTTTCTATGAAATGGAGTTAGTTTGAAACTCAAATTACTTTTTGTTTTGGAAAAATTTGTAATTTGACACTTTTGAACAAGTGGCATCGTAAATTACAAATTTCTTTACAACAAAAAGTAATATGAGTTTCAAATAGCGTTGGGACTATTTGAATGCACATTACAAAACTATTCGATTCTACCAAGGTCTCGAATGCATTCGATTCTGTTGAAAGTATTCGAATAGTCATTTGTTCAAACACCTCGCCAGCGTGGCGAGCGTTCATACTCACCGAATGCAAACGACACTGGACGAATTCGAATTCGATACCCTGCTGAAGCAGCTGGCTAATGCAAAAGAAAATCGAGCACTCGCACTGTATTCGAATTGAATGTTTAAGGTGGCCATATCCCTGGCCGAGAAATGGTGAAATTTCTGGCATTTTTAGGTACTGAAATCTTGAAAAGTAAAACGTGTTGAACAAAAGTAAGCACAAAAATAAAATCCTTGATGTTTTGTTTATTCATTGTTACCATTTACCCAAATAAAATAATAACTAAAAAAAGCGTTTTCTGTTATTCTAACCCCACATTTTAAGAATTATTTTCATGTACTTATAAATAAAAGTAAACAATTTTATATGTAGGACTAAGCAAGTAAATGTTATAAGAATATTTACATGTGGAGTTATATATAAAAAAGTTAGTATTTTCGTAGATTTCAGTACCTAAAACCTTGATGGTTTGATTGTTTTTTGCACCTGTTTATTCGTTTTACTGCGGCGTCTTTGAAAATACNTACTGATTGTAGACTGACTTACAGGTTCTCTGTTCGGATATTTATTGTTGAACATTATTCGAACTTCGTTGTGTGTTCTAGTTTTCTCACCACAGCCAAGCATAATTAATATTTCGATTCTCTGAGTCTCAGTTAAACGCATTGTAAATTTCAATTAACAATACAGTTCAAACTTTTAAGTAATTGACACAATGTGAAGACTAATGTCAAATATTCACAAACAGTGTAAATATTTCGTGAACAGTTGAAGATAGGTATAGGACATTATACACAAAACATGTCCAGAATTTTTCGGAAAATCCGAAAATGCAAAAATATATAGGTTCCATTTAAGAAAAAAAAAATTCTGCCACGCTTTTTTGAGGCACCCTGTATATCTACATTTTATGTCAAAATATGCGCAATCTAAAAACAAAATCGACGTATCCGAGGATTTTTCCTAAAAAAATTACACATTCTTTTATTGAAATTATCCGTTATTAAATCACAACCCTGTATATATAATATGATTTAGGTTTATTTATCTATGCATAAACCCTTGCCGCATTCATATGAGATATGAGTGCAAAGCAAAGTGAAAAGCGAATGCGAGAAGTCGGGAACCTAATCTATGAATGATGTGAGACTTGACTTGAATTTGAATTCTCTGTATTCGAATGATTATTCGATTCTGAAAAGTATTCGAATGCAAGCTATTCGATTCTGAATTTTCTCGATTCTGCCCATCATTAGTTTCAAACTAAGTCCATTTTATAGAAAATCTGCATTAAAATGGGGGAAAGTCTGTTATTTGTGCATTAATTCATATTTAGACAAACTGTGTAATAAAATCTATAAAAATATATTGTTGATTGCCTATTTGCTATAGAGCCCTCTTAACTAGTGAAACTATTAATAGAATAAACGAGCATAAGTCTGGCTATGATATATAAAGTATGTTGGTTTTTTCAAATCTACGCATCTGCTCGTCGCCAGGTACATTGCACTTCCATAACCTTGGCTAGGAACTTTTGACATGTCCTTGTTGTTCTCGGGTTAGGGCTATTGGAACCCTTAGGGGTCAGTCCTGATGTTCGTTTCAGTTCTCATTGTTGGTTCCTCTGACAATGGTGGCCTTCTGGGACATTCTGCAGTGGTTTCTGTAACTGGTCACATTCAATTCTTCCAAACGATTCGGCATCTTCAGTGATGACTCTGCAAATACTGTAAACCATGACTAAGGCTGTTTACAACCTCGTCTTCGGTCTTATAGCCTTGGCGCCATTGCATACACTTTTAGGCCTCCATAGTATAGTGGAGAGAGTCGGGAGGGAAACAATGCAAGCATAACTCGCTCCACTATTCTATTGAAGAACTGTGGAACGTTTGGAAGCATCAGATGTGAACAGTAGGGTTAACCTAAGGGGGCTGATAGCAGGTCAGGGGCCACAGAGCCTAGCCCAAGAACAGCAAGGGTAGGTCAAAGATCCCTAGCAATATAACTTTGTAAGTAGACGACTAATTACAGAGAAAACTCATAACAAGGCAAAAAATCATCTTACTTTCAATAAAGTAAGGTCGATTCATAAACTGTAAAATAGAGAAAGGTTCCAATACATGTGCACTGGAACTGAATTTTAGCATTCACACACACTTAAGGAGGTTTATCGGGTACGGGGGTACGTCTAAAGTCTAACGAGAGTTTCTGTAGATTCGCTAGTGACTAAAGTAGTAAGCCTTTAGATTTGGCAACGTTGCACTTAGCTGGCGCGCTTGGCGTTCTCTTGCCTAAGCTTGAAATATACGTCATATGTCACACCTGCAAATTTCAAATAATATGCTACGTCGAGAACCGCGGCATTGCCGCTATCACGCATATGGAGGTTAAGTTAGTCAACGACAGCAGTTTGAAGGAGAATTATTATAAATTATGTATCTTACAACTACCTAATTGATTTCTACGAGCTGTCATACGGTTCCTTAGATATCGGTTTCCTATTTATACAAGTTGCTGTGGAAACTGTTCGTCAATTGTTGCACAATCTATGTGGAAAGACCAAAAAAATCTGCATTCTTATAAGACTGTACTAAATCGTGAAAAATTATTTTATTAATATCTCATCTCTTACGTATCCAAACTAGTCTCAATTTTTGTTGAGGATTTTCTTGATATTAATAAGCTTATAATAATTTTTTTATGAATATTTTGTCAATTCCAATCAGATAAACCTCCTTCATCGGTATTTTTCTTCAATCTTACTATCTGCACCAAACAATTTTGCAAGTATGTAAATTTTTGGCCATTATATTTATTTTGGTGATGGTGATGATACACCTGCATACACTTTTCTCCACCAAGTACAACCTAGTGCAGATGAACGTACACTTTGTTTCCGATATTAGGCTAAACAGTAATAGTTGGCAACAAGTTGCTTCAGTCGGTTAGATTTAAATATTTCAGTGATACTCAAGTCATATGTGAATTACAAAAAATTCTCATGCAATTCACTTTTTTTAACAATACCAAAGTCCATCAAAAATAAACCTCCAAGTTTGTAAATAATCTGTAAATAAAAAAATTATTTCTGTTATCAACACACATTGATATACAGGGTAGGAAAGTACCGATGGTCTATCTGAAGTTACGTGAGAGCGATAAAGTAAGCATAGAAATCTATGCGATAGAGAAGGATGGCTATAATGAAGGCGTCTCATAGTCACCGCCCGTTTCGCCCTTCCACAAATAAGATCCACTTCTTATTTGTGGAAGGGCGAAATGGGCGGGGACTATTAGATCCCTTCACTATACCCATCTTTGTCTATCACATGGATTTCTATGGCTTACTTTATCGGTCTTACGTAACTTCAGATAGACTATCGGTACTTTCCTACCCTGTATGTTTTAAACATATTTGGTTTTCAGTAATTTTAAAGTTGATAAAAAGTGTTGCGCAATTTTTAACTTATCTTCAAATGCAAGTAAAATTTATAATAAAAAAGTGGTTCGATCTCTTAAAAATATAGATACATTTTTAAATTTTTCTTATGTCTCCATTTATATTATTGTTAGATTAAAGACTACCGAAGGGCAGACAAAATTTCTGCGGGCCCTCAGTCTCATATATTAGAGGGCGTGACATGGGAAGAAGCGAGGAAGATGCAAGATGCAACAGTTACTCAAACCGGGGATCACGTGGTTCTCATGGGGGCAGCTTCAAAGGGTATCATTCAGAGGGGCCATCAACACAATGCCATGGTGTATAAGTCTCCTTATGCTAAGAACCCATTTGATTCCGTTACAGACGAGGAACTTGACGAGTACAAAAAAGTTGTCGAGAAGAAAGTTAAAGGCGATTGTTAGTATCACATTTAATGTTTAGGAAGTGTCATCTGATATATTTTACTGGTTTTTTAGACGACACCGATTTTAGTGAATCAGAAGGACTGTCTTCGGCCCAGATGAATAAAAGGATGGATGACATGAACATTACTTCCCCTGTTTCTATCACAAGTGAAACAGAAGAAGAAAGCCGAGATGGTGAGTAAAATCGATGAAAGTACAGAAACACCGTAAATGATATTTCCTGTTTTAGAACCTCAAATCCTTCGGATAGAAACAAAGACAGCTCCAAGACCAAGCCAACCAGAAGTAGTTCTTAGTGATGGTAAGTTCATTTTTTTTTATAAATATGCTACTTTTGTACTTGCTTACATGTGTTTCCATAAGCCATTAAAATTTTATTTCATTATTTATCAGAATATTATTATCGAAAATGATGGACAAGGGGTAAGTGTTCATCGCTACAGATTCATTCTCATTTTAGAGAACAAATCTAGTCAGAGATAGACACTTCCAAAAATCTTTATAAGGACCAACACAATACACTATAGATGTCATCGTCCATCTGTTTGTGACTTTTTATGTTTTAACGTTTTAAATGTTCCACTGCACTGACAAACATTTGAATTTTTCTGTATTTTCAAAATGAACTTAAGAAAAAATGTGCATTGAATATGCTAATTTATTTTGTGTTGCTGTGTGGTTTGATGTGTGAAATTTTTAGACGTTTTGGTGCATTTACAGCCTGATAGTTTTTTTTTGTTTTTATTTTGGCATGTTGAATTACAAATTTGAAGGCGGGCTTATACTTACACAAGAAAATAATATAAATTGGACAATCAAATGACTGTATAAGATGTTATGCTCCACCAACCAAAATTCTACAGGTGCAAGCAACTTTTTGAGAAAATTGTGATAATTTTAGTATTTTTTTAGCTATTATTTTGTTTCACACATTTCTTGGTTGGTACGAATGTCCTATTTATTGGTCAGTTAGGTTCTTAGTAGAGTTTGGGACTCGGTCGGGTGATCATAGCCGTCGCGTCGGTTTTTCGCTTCAGTGCATCTGACAAAACAGGTAATAACGGCAGTTATTGGCTTCGCGTTTGCTTTGTGTATAAGTTTAATATTCTAATAATGTTGAATGCCCAAGGGTAAAAAACGACCTTTTGCTGATAAAGTACCCAAGTTTATTTATTTTTATTTTTACCTACCTGTTTAATTATGTATTTACAACAAACACGATTATGACTAGCCCACGAAAACCCGAAACTCTAGTCTTGAAATCAAGTTATTACAGCTTTTTACTTAGTATTAGCTAATACATACGATTAAAAAAAATGTTCATGCCATACCAGATGAATTAAAAAAAAAATCACAAAATTAAAAAAGATTAAGGATGAAAATTGTATTTTTCCAAAACAAAAAAATTTTAAAGGACTAGAGGGGCATGGTTGAGAAAAAAATTTGTCATTAATTTAATTTGAATGGTAATTCTCACAGTCCGTTGGTGTTCAAAACATGTATAATGTGCTGTATATTTATCCTTAAAAAATTCTTAAATGACTAACTAAAAAATTCATAAAACATCCTGTCAGTATCTATGAATTTGCTTCTATTCTTATTTTGGCCAAAGAACCACCTGTAGAATTTTATCGGTGAAATATTATAACACACTATAATTGCAACATTGTATTAAACTTTATATTATTTTTAGAATAGAAATAGAAACTTAACAAAAATATTTAATTTAAATAAATGAAAATATTTTATTAAAGTAATACAGGATGTCCCGAAATTAATGCAATAAATTTTGGTCGTAGATTCTTAATACAAAGAGTAACCGCAAAAATCGCCCGTTTTTTTCACAATTTGCAGAGCTAAAGAAAATAGATAAAAACATGTTTTTGGTCTCAAATTACTCGTCGTAAAAATTAAGATGAGCATAGCTTTTAGTTTTTTGAAAATTTTAAAAAATCACCCCTGTTTAGGGGTTGAAAAGAGACGCCCAAAATGAAGAATTGAATATTACCAATAAATATAAAAACTAGCATGTGAATTTTTCTATCGAATGAATCTTGATACAAAGAAAGATTTATTCTCATGACTGAAATAAGCATGTTGAATTAGAAAATCCACCTTTAAGCGCACTCAGGAGGTGGAATCATCCCCCAAAATAAAGAATATCAGAAATAATTGTAAAAATTCCAAAAAAAATATTATTAAGATAATTCACATGCTAATAGTTTTTATATCAATTGGTAATATTCAAATTCTTCATTTTTAACATTTTTTCAACCCCTAAGTAGGGGTGATTTTTAAAATTTTCAAAATACTAAAAGCTATGCTCATTTCAATTTTTTACGACAAGTAATTTGTGACCAAAAACATATTTTTATGTATTTTTTTAATTCTCTGCGAATTGTGAAAAAACGGGCAAAAATCACAGGTTTTTTTGGTTCCTTCTTTAGGGGACCCGTATTTTTTGTTTGCCAAGTGGCCCCCTCTTTAGGAGTTACAGCCTCTTGAAATCTGCACCTAAGAATAGTCTTTTTATTTATATCTCGGAAGTCTGTTGTATAAGAACTAAATTTGGTAACAGGAATTTTATGACGTGGAATCTGAATTTTTTGTCTCTTGATATTTTTTTTCATACAATGCAATGTTTTCGAGAAAAATAGTAAAATGTGATTGAATGATATCGTGACTCGTATGAAACTCTAATTAAATTGAATTGTTAATAAAAACTTCACAAAAATAATTTGAAACTTTAATAAAACGGTTTTTATGTTGTTTGACAACTATTTTCCATAAAATGCAGGTAAATTTCTGTGTTCAGACCAGGGAGCAAAAAATTTGGTCCAATAATGTCCTCTAACGACAATTCTAACCCAACAGTTAATAGGGAATAGATACTGCTAATGAGTTTTCTTTAATTAAAATCATTTTGATAGGATGTTAACAAAGGACGTCTTCCTGCATTGGGTCTTCTTACGATTACAGAACTTGTCACCATAAGTTGCCGGTGCACAAGTGAAAACATCGAATGATATGGATGTACTCGTGGAAAATCTCACCATTTTTTCAACAAATACAGAAAAGATAATAATCTTACAAAATATTAATGATAACTGTCAAAAAATAAATTTGTTTGTTAATTGCGATCGCTAGCAACCTATGATAAACGTAAAATTTCATATAAATCACGATATGTATTCGATCACATTCTGCCATTTTTCTCGAAAACATCGCGTTTTACGAAAAAAATATGAGACAAAAAAGTTTCTAAATTCGTTGGCTAGCAACCTACGATAAACACGTAGAATTTCATATAAGCCACGATATGTATTCGATCACATTTTACCATTTTTCTCGAAAACATTGCGTTTTATGAAAAAAAATATAAAGAGAAAAAAGTTTCTAAATTCGTTGAATTTCTACCAGACAGAACAATTTTTAAGAAATTCAAATATGCAAATTTTTTTTGGCTCCGAAGGCATTGAGGCCCACGAAAAAGTGTCCTAAGGGAGTTCTCCTCCAAAAAGCGTAGCGCTGTCAGATTCCACATGTCATAAATCCCCTGTGGACCAAATTTAGTGATCCTCATTCAATCTGGGATATAAAAAAAAAAGACTATTCTTAAGGGCGAATTTCAGGGGGCTATAACTCCGAAAGAGCAAAAATTAAAAAAATTAGTCCTAAATTTGTCTTAAGAATTTGTGACCAAATTTAATTGCATTAATTTTGGGACACCCAGTATACTTTCTTTCCTTCTTCGAGTTCCTGAATTATCTTGTCAATCTAGTTCATATAAATTTTTTTGCTATAATACTGTTCTGTAAAATTTAATGATTTTTTTTTATATATATTATGTAGAAAAAGTTTGATAAGCACTCTTTCAGTAGTATTACATTTGTGAAATATCAGTAATAGTGAGTATATTCCACAGTATCAATGATTAAATTATAAAAACTAAATTATACATGGATGAAAGATTAAGTAATTGCAAAAAATATGTGGAAGATGCCCATTTATGAAATAAAAAAAAAGTTTGCTTAATAATGAAGCATGATCTAGCATGAGTATATTTTTTCTCTATTTGCATGTTTTGTTTAGTTGAGGCTTCTCCAGTAGAAAATTTCCTAAGAGCTGAACGAGTTTCAGTAAACAGCTATAAAAGTAAGTAAAACATTAGTTAAGAATTTCTAATTCTTCATCTACACATTTAAGCTTGTAACAAACGCATTTTCTGCTTCTTCACTGCTTTCATCTTCACGCTTGGCATGTCATGTCGGAATATTACAGATACCGTATGGTAGAAACAAGTATTCCTTATAGCCATGAAACCTTTAGGATCTCTTTCAGGTTGTAAATTGATGAGAGCTGCCCGTACTGGTAGACCCATAGAACCAAGTTACTACCGTACTCGTAGCCATGCTGGATTTCCAAATGGCTCTTATGCTGTCCCTAACCCCAAACATTTTCATGTACCTCCCCAAACTCAAATAGCTAAGATGCGGCCTTTACTTTTTCCCACCACACCTCACGCTAGTTCATCAAGCTATAGCTATAACAAGGATCGTACCACTCAACCCACTCTTACTTTAAACTTGGGAAATTGCCCCCCAGTTGCCGTCAACATCCCCGTTGATGCACTTAGAGCGTTTATTTATCCTTTCGCGACTGCTTTAAATTTCTGTAGCGGATCACGATTTAACAACCAAGGGTGTCAGACTACTTATATGAGCAACTTTGAACGTAAACCACCTGCAGAATCCGATTTCCGTAAGGTGGATTACACTCCTTTGTACACAGATACTTATCAAACCTGTCATTTACAACCTGAAACCAAACGTCGTTCTCAGACTTTTGAGAGGCAGATTTTAGAAGATATGCAACAAAATCTGTTAGATTTCAATGAAAGTTTCTCTGAATCTGAAAGCCATCGTACAGATGTAACGGATAAGTCAAATGACACTTTAGATAAAATTAAGGAGTTTAGTGAGCAGGATGAAGTGCAGAGTAATGAAAGTTTAGTAGAACTTACTCAAGATATTTCGGCGATGTTTCCCAGCTCTTCTACGAGCTCTGAAAGTCTCAAAAACCAAACATTTGAAAGGTTGTCTTGTAATAAAAGGAACAACGATTCTGATAATATTGGAGATGTTGTTAAAGTTGCTGAAAATTTTGTTGACAAACTTATGGACATGTCTATTACTTCTGCAAACTATTTCCTATTTGAGAAAGTTGTCAACGAGGCTAAAACTATGTTACACCAAGAACCCGAAGGAGAGCTGCCAAATTTAGTTAATACAATTAGTCAAGATGAAGGCATAGAAGATTGCACACTAACAAATGATTCAAATAATTCTACATTAAAATGTTCCTCACCCGTCGACAGTTGTGTTAAGAAAATTGGAAGTATTATTTTTGATTATTTAGTACAGCAGTGCTTTGAGGTGAAAGAATTAATTTTATTTCCGGAGGTTCTGCATGACCTTAACATAAACAAACTTTTAATGACCTTAAAGGAAGCTTATGAACAGTGCTATGGGAATTGCTTAAACGACATCGAGAAAAATGAGTTACGAATTTCTCTTGCATCGTATGTTCTGAAATTGTTAGAAATTGATGATAGGCTGAAAGATTCATCTCAAGATTCTAGTTCGAGCATTGTTACTGACAAAATATTTACCATATCAGAATTTTTGTCTGATATTTTGGACCACTTCTTTAACTCCCTTGATACCAAAATTGAGCCCTTCTTAGATTTTGAAAAACAAATGACCGGCGATAATGGAGAAGTGTTTCATTCAACACCGGAATCTAAAAAAAGAAAGAATGATGAAATCTCCAATGAAGAAAAAGGTGACGGTGATTGTCCTGATGTAACTTCATTTAAGAAAACTGAAAAATCCGGGTCAGAAATCTATTGGATTACATTATACACTTCTCCTGTCCGTGAAGAACAAAAAGTCCATAAAAATAAGACTGTTGTAAACGTTGATGACATTCCATTAAAACCACCTGAGTGTCACAATGAATTAAATTATTCAAAAAGAATCCTATCTCCTATTCTAGAAGAACCTCGTGTTAATCTTTTCAACAGTAATTTGCATGAAGATGAATGTGAAATTTTTTCAGATTCGTTCCATCAGACATATGAGATTCTAGAAAAATCCAATGATAGTGATAATATAGAAAATGACGACACAAGTACTTATGTTTCATTTGCCACACCCGATTCGAATTTAATTATTAGCAATGAAGTTAACTTTTGTCGCATTCAAACTTTAACTGCAGATCCTTATGTCCAAGTTAAGGAAGCAGGATTTAAACAAAAATATTCAGACTCCGATAACAAAGAAAATGAAAAGCCATACGATGACGTTGAAGGCAACTGGATGGGTTTCGAAGGGGCTAAGTTTTAACTTTGTTTAGTATATTTCCTTTTTTTATGTGTGTACATTCTGTGCAATTCATTTAAATATATTATTATCAAAAAAACCTTGGTTATTATTCAAAATTCATCTTTACACAAAAAATAACTTCCTATACTAACTGGTTTTGGAAATTTAGGATACAGGTAACCCCCTAAACGTAAATTAATTTTTGTTGCATTTTTGTTTGTCTTATTAATGCATGCATGATGTAAATATCTGCAATAATATACTACTGGGAAATAGATTTTATTTTACTCTCGTTTTAGGTGAGAATACTGTAAACGGAGACCAATCAGATGCCCACATGAGTACTCTTTCGCAGAGTAGTAAAGAGGTAAGTAATAATGGAAATGTAGGAGGATTAGCGTAACACATCTTTTTTTAAGGATCACTCCATTTCTGAGGGCTCTCCTAAAAAGGATAAGAAGAAAAAGAAAGGTCTTAGAACACCATCTTTCCTTAAAAAGAAAAAGGAAAAAAAGATCCGGGAAGCATAGGTATGTATGACTCTTAAAAGGTATTTGTCAGATATTTAATTTCTAGATGTCATCAATGATCTGAAAAAAAAAATAGTAAAGGGTTAGGCAGAATGAAATATACATTTTAAATTTGATCGTATTAATTGATAAATAAATTTTTATTCAAAAATCGAACAAAAGGTTCTTGAGAAAACAGGGAAATTTAATTTTATAAAAATGGCATTCTTGAAATCTAATACGAAAGTTTTGGATCATCTGTGCCATTTGAAGTGAGATTGTGTTAATCTCTGTCCGAATATTATTTTTCAATTCGTCCAAAGTTTGCGGTCGATTAGAAAACACTTTTGACTTCACAAAAAAAAGCTCCATAAAAAAAGTCATTATTCTCAAAGAAAAATGGCCCAAAAATTGGAAAGGCTGCACACCATACAGTAACTTTTATGCTATGAAGTGGTAATTTATGCAATTGCTGGAGGATTCTGTCATCTAATAATGAAAGTTCTGTTTGTTAACGTAACCTGATAGATGAAAATGCGCTTCATCTGACATCAACAAGCAATCAACAATACCCAGATTTTCAGCAAGTAAAGCTTTGAAATGCTTGAAAAAGTTAACGTGTATTCCATAATCTTGTGGCAGAAGTTTTTCTACGTTTTGAATTTTGTAGGGATGGAAATGTAAGTCTTTTATAATGTGGCGATAACTTCGATTTGAAATATTGAGTTCCAATGCTTGTCGTTTAGGACTTCCTAACACATTTGCTCTTACCCTCTCAGCATTTTCAAGTGTGCATACGGAATGAGTTCTCCCACTATCTACTTACAATCTGGTTATCTATCTGGTTACAATAGAATCGTTATTCTTAAAATAAATTGCAACCATAAAAGATCGTTGAATATTTGACCGACACTCCATATTCACAACTAAACTGACATTTCTCCAATCTCTCTGACAGCTGTCTTAAACTTCCTTAAAGCACGGCGACTTGATTTGGATTTGTGTCTCGCTCACTATATTATGAAACAAACTAACTTTGAAAATGGATATTTCATTCCGTCTAACCCTTTACATTAGTCAAACATTAGAAACAGAAAATGCAATAGCTGGGCCTGTAACACAAGCACTACAATAATTGTAATAATTGTAGAATATTACTTGTTGAATTGTTAAAATTCTGTAACACACCGCCACCTGTACATGTGCCGAACTTGTAATTACAGAGAATTTTCTACATTTGTAGAGTTGTTCTGTAACTCAATGTGAACATTTGTAAGTTTGTGTTACCGATTTTCTCCGAGATCTTTTATTTTATAATTTTATTTTTGGTATCCGTTACTTAAAATATATGGTCTAAAAAAGAAACATATCATTCCAACACGAGGTGTCGAGACGGTTAAAATTTTGTTTCCCAGCGACGTAACAATTTTATTTTTTAATGTCTTGAAATTCCTAACATGTTTTGTAAGTCCGCGAATAAGTTCTGCATCACCCCATACAGGGTCGGAAAGTCCCCATGGTTCATCGGCCGTTACATAACTCTCACGTAACGGCCGATGAACCATGGGGACTTTCCGACCCTGTATATATTTATAAACTATCAAATTAAAATAGCAGTACTTACCATAGCACCTTTTTTCAAGTTTTGCCAAAGTGTGTCCCTGGTGTAGGTCCAATCTTTATGTGCCGGCTTTAGACATATACTTTTGGCAAGATTCGCCAGATTCTTCTATTTTGTGCTCTTTTCGTAACGTTTCGCTAAAAGCGCCGAAAATAATGTTTTTATTTTCTTTTACTTTCATTAAGAACTACATTTTTCGTTCTATCGTTATTATTTTGAACGACATTGTAAATTCACCTCGTGAAAACAAAACGAAGAAAAAAATAAATAGCCTTCACTTTATAGACTTCTACATATTCTACAAGTCTTGTAGATTACTAGCTACACTTGTATGACTTTTTCCTGTTTCCTACAAGTGTCGCGGTGAAGTTTGTGTTACAGAATCTTTAAGGACTTGTAACTACAAGTGAATTTTCCTCCTTTTGTTATACTTCTATGGCTTGTGTTATAAGCTCCTGGTTATGTGATAAATTCGAAGTATTTATTTTTTGATATGGTTAAGGTGTTTCCGTTAAAAAAAAAACATTTTTTAATATTTTCCAAATGTACAATATTTTCAACAGTAAAAAATTGTTTCACCATTGTTGTAGAGAAGGGGAATTACAGTTGCTTTATTTAAAAAAATGTACGTGCTATTAACAAAATAAATTTCTAGTACTAATTTGTTAATAAAAAATAATTTTTAGTTCTCATAATTATTACAGTAACATTTTTAAATTTCTTCCACATTAATAAATAATAAAAAATGAATTAAACAAATTTTTACACTTTTTACCTTTTAATATTGTGGATGCTTCAATTATTTTAAGTGTTACTTATGACCAGTTGCACCAACATACCTGTATTTAGGTGCCACTTAACGCTAGGAACGCCTAAATATTAAGTTGGGTCCTAATTTCGTTTGCACCATTACATATTCTCTACTTAATTTATGACTAACTTAGGGGAGGAAACTTCGCTCCCTAAAGTCCCCCTAATTTTAAGTAAACATTAGACCATGAACTGTCGACTGTCAAAACAAACCAAATCAAATTTTCATTTTTAAACATACATGGGTCATATTTGTTCTTTGGTTTGCAAATTCTAAATTATCCAAATCAATACGGGCTTGGGCATTTGTACTTGTGTTGGCTGTTTCTTCTTGGAAATTGCTATCAAATTGACTTTCCAACCCAAGTACAGATTTTGCCTTAATTATGGACAAAAGTAAATCGTCATTGCTATCAACTACTTCTAGTGAAGGGTCTCCACCAGTCACGTATAGGTGCTTTCTCTGCTCGCCACTTCTTTTTCTCAGGTCTTCCTTCATTTTTTATAATACTTTTTTAAAGATTCCGTTGGTCTTGAATGCAACTCTGATGAAGCAGCATTCAATTTTTCTATTTCTTTCCAGGCTCTTTTTTTTTCTTCCACAGAGACACCATCTGTTTTTTTGTTCTCAACTATCCTTATAATGCACTACGAGGTTTAGTAACATTTTTCTCTCATTTTGTGTATAATTCAGGGCTCGGACTCGTTTTCTTTGATTGTGTTAGTTTCCATTTTACAAATAAATATGGCGGCAAAATGATTTACCTCGATAATTTTTAATAAATTTAATTTTTAAGATGCAAGCGTGACATCTTGAATCACTTCTAATTATCATCACGGACAAAACATTTCTGCAGAAAACTGTCAAAATTTGCGACATTGCCGCTACATTGCTTTACATAGTTAGGGATTCCTTAAAATTAGGTGGTGCAATGGATTTGAAGTTAAGTGTGTGCTAAAATTTAGGGAGCCCGTAACTATTACTTCCCTAGTGATTTTTTGGTGCAAAATGTCTTCAAATGGAACACCCTATACCAGGGGTCGGCAAGTAATTTTAGGTGGGGTCCGGATACTTTTGAAAATTTTTAACGAAGTCCACAAAAAAAACACATTCCTTAGTAACTTTTTATTTTAATTTGCACTCACAAATTTAATCTACCTACTAACCATTATGAACTCAAATCAATCACGCAATTTTAGTAGAAAAAAAGGGTGGCACTCAAACGTATTATTATCAATAGAAAACTATTTTTTAAATAATTTAATTAATTTATACTTTCAAAAAATTTTTGGGAGTCCATTATTTTACCTTCCGCNGAAAATATTAATATATATATTTTTTTTAACTGGTGCCCATTTGAAAAGCAAATCTGTTGGATATCGTCCAAAAAATACTACGATTTTATGGGGTAAATAGAAACATTTATTCAAAAACTCCCTGATTCTGTACATTTTGAACATTTTTTAAATTAAATTTAGCACAATTTAAATTAAATTTAATAAAATTCGGTGCTTGGGTGATCGTAATAAATTTATGTTAAATAAAAATAAACACTTTAATGACAAAGTTCGTCATATAAAGACTACTTCAATTCACCTCATTATACGTGACAAATTTACACTCACAATTAATGTCAAGCTTCTACAGTGTAGGAAAGCGCCGATGGTCTATCACAAGTTACGTGAGAGCGATAAAGTAAGACATAGAAATCCATGCGATACAGAAGGATGGCTATAATGAAGGCTTCTCTTTGTCACCGCCTGTTTCGCCTTTCCACAAATAAGAAGTGGATCTTATTTGTGGAAGGGCGAAACGGGCGGTGACAAAGAGAAGCCTTCATTATAGCCATCCTTCTCTATCGCATGGATAGAGAAGGATGGATGTCTTACTTTATTGCTCTCACGTAACTTGTGATAGACCATCGGCCCTTTCCTACACTATATATTATATATGGTAATTTTTAATTTCTCTTCGAATTTAAGGCTTGCCTTGATAATCAGTAACGGTTCAGTTATAGGGATATATTTTTTAATTTTTATTCTTTCAGATGTTCTAATAAAAAAAATATATATTCAATTACAATAAAATAAATAATACCCTCAAAATATTGGATTTCTGGAAAACTATTAAAAATTGGCGGGTTTGTAGTACAAACTTGCAACATTTGCACTTGTAACTGTACAACAGTTTCATAAAAAAAATCAAACTGCTGTGTTCAATTTTCTTTTGTGTAATTCAGTTATTGTTTTAGGTACCTATTGACTCCGACAAATTCAAATTATAAATTGCCTCCATTGAGACTGCCAGCGACTCATTTTAGTTTAGTTCGGGCGCAGCGGCTACATTTTTTGCACTAAATGTGACAGTGGACTGCAATGGTCTAATTTAAAATATAAATTATATTTTAGCTTTATCTGTACAGGAACCTATAAAGATTTATTATTATTATAATTATAATTAACTTTCAAAGTGCGAAATATAATGGTGGATTAATATATTATAGAGAATAAACAAAATAAACAATTCAAATGTTTGTAAATCTGCTTTCAAAATGTACATGTTACATCGACTGACATCACCTTCGTAAAACTTTATTTGGATTGTTTATTCTGTGCAATAATAGCTATTTTTATTTATGTAAATTTTTAGCTCCTATGCTTTTTATCTTTGATTTTGCAATTATGATTGTTATTATTAGTTGTGCAAATAGAGTATATTTACTTTTTAAGGCCATAATTTTATTTTTCATTCATGTTGGGAGTGGGAGCACATATTTTCTAACTATTGTTTCTACTATATAATACATTTAATAATTTGCACAAAGTACTCTTTTTATATGTTTTCTTAATATTTAAGAAATAAACAGCTTTTTCTTGCTATTTAGTTGTAGTTTTTTTTTGTGTAGTGTTTATTGTTACTTTTTTAAAATTGTTTTATACACCTTGCTTAGTCGTGAATAGAGTTTGAAATTTTATACAATAAATAAAATATACACTTGCGTTTGGAGTGAATCAAAATTTTTATTTTATAAGTACTTTAAAAGTACAGCATGTAATATTGTTCTTTTAAAGTACTTATTTTAAAAAAAATTAAGACCGTTCTCAAATTAAATTATTTTGATATTTATGTTCAAGATTTTGATTCACTTTCATAACGAGAAATTAATATAGCTATCTATGTTCACAACTTTAAATAAATTGGAATTAATTATCAATATTTTTGTTTTATTGAATGCGAGTTATAACTAATAAAATGGAGTGGACCATCGTAAAAGATTTTTTTTTAGAAAAAGTTATGAAGATAGACGGCAGTTGCGGAGTTGTGGAAAAGTAATAAAACACAAATATTTTTTATATATTAGATATTCCTAGTACTTATGAATTTTTATATTTTTCTAAAAATGTTTTTCATTGATACTATTTCTTTGTTAACCATGAGTGTGTGTACTACTATGGAAACTCAACAAAACAGCTCAAGTTGTAAGTAGTTTCTAGCATTCTGTTTTTTATAAATCTGTTTTTAGTCCAGACGGTATCTGTTTGAAAAAGTCCATATTTGGGTGAATTGTATATCCACGGAGATTTGTGGCTTTTTGGCTTTCAAATATCGCTAGAAATGAAAATTTTTCTATGTGAATAAACAAAAACGTGGGCTTAACTTTTGGCGGCACAATATGTTAAAAAAATTCGAAAAATGTCATTTTTCTTCCTATTTATCTTTTCAAGAGTTGATTTTAGGTGAAAATGGAAGAGGAAAAAAATGTTTGTAATTAAATTTTTCAAAATATGACTAGTTACAAATCAAGTAAATCATGATTATTGTAAAAATCGAAAAAATCGCCAAAACGGGTTAAAAACATTACTTTTTAGGGAATTTTTGGGGTCTTTAAATTGGGTATAGGATCTTCATACTTGGCTCAAGAAAACTTCATGTTATGTAGAATCATCACACCAAATGTCATCAAAATCGGTTTGATAGATTTTGCATAATTTTGTGATCCAGAATTTGAAAAAAAAAATGCAAATTTTCAAAATTTTTCCACAGCAAAAACCAAGGTCCTTAGATACTTGAAAATTTAATCGCATATAGAAGGGCTTTAAGTTTTCAAACGCTTTTTGAAAAATTCAAATCCGTCAATTAGGAAAGCTCTGGCGCTTGTTTAAACATTGGTTGAATTTTTGTACTTATAAACAATTAGAATAACTGTGAATATTCAACCAAATCAAATTTTTTAAAATAGGTTTTAAAAAAACAGATTGATTGGTCAATTAATTACGTAGTTATAGCCGATCAAAGTTAAATTAACTTATTACTAATTTTCGACATATTTTGAAAATAATTGTTGTATAAACAATTTTAAAATATTTAAATAAATTTGTTTTTGATCTTTGATAAACAGTATATAAGTTTATGCACTTACCTTTGATACAATAAAAAATAAAGTTGATAAAGAAAGTTTAAAGATAAATAATTATCGGACTGTTGAAAGACCAATAATTATTAACGATAGGCATTTGAAAATACGCTATTTGTTTTTTTTTTAAATCGCGAGATATTGATTTAAAAATAAATTATCAAAATCGTACCTCTAGAAGCTGATATTAAAAATTTTTAAGCGCGTCGTGGTTTTGAACTTGCCAATTCAATTTCAAGCAAGCCGAAGCGGCCACGCTCTGCTTCCCCCACCACCATCACCCGTACAATTTTCTTGAATTTCTCGCTTGCATAAATAACTTTAAACACGTTTTAAAGTAAGTTGCCAATGAAGAAAAGTATTGCAAACTTAAACTTGGTAAGTACTTGGAATACCGAAGGTATTTTTTGAAAAATTAGCCCCGATTAACTGTCATTTAGTGTAAATGACGGTTAACTTTGATCGGCTATAACTACGTAACTAATCCAATCGATCTGTTTTTTCTTTTAAAAGAAGCGTCTGCAATAACTTTTATAACCTGCTTTAAAAAATTGGATTTGATTGAATATTCACAAAGTTATTCTAATTGTTTATAAGTACAAAAATTCAACCAATGTTTAAACACGCGCCAGAGCTCTCCTAATTGACGGATTCATATTTTTCAGGAAGCGTTTGAAAGCTTGAGAGACCTTCTATATGTGACTAAAGTTTCAAGTATCTAAGGGCCTTGGTTTTTGCTGTGCAAAATTTTGAAAATTGCAAATTTTTTTTCAAAATCTGGATTGAAAAATTTTTATGCAAAATCTATAGACCCGATTTTGATGAAATTTGGTGGGACGATTCTACATAACATGAAGCTTTCTTGAGCCAAGTATGAAGGTCCTATACCCAATTTAAAGACTCCAAAAAAATTCCTAAAAAGTAATGTTTTTTATCCCCATTTTTGGCGATTTTTTTGATTTTTACAATAATAATCACAATTCATTTAATTTGTAACTAGTCATATTTTGTAAAAAATTTAATTACAAACATTTTTTTCCTCTTCCATTTTCGCCTAAAATCAACTCTTCAAAAGATACAATAAGAAGAAAAATATGACATTTTTCGAATTTTTTTAACATATTGTGCCGCCAAAACTTAAGCCCATATTTTTTTATGCGCATAGACAAATTTTCATTTCTAGTGATATTTGAAAGCCAAAAATCTCCGTGGATATATGATTCACCCAAATCAAAACAGATACCGCCTTGTCCATTTCTGGTTGTTTTGTACGAAAAATAATTGGTACAGTCAAGATGTATATTAGCGTACTTGTGTATTATTAAGTGACAACTCCTAGTGCATGTTAACTTACAGTACTATTAAAGAAACACTATGATGTATAACTAAAGTGTGATACAACTTTTAAAAAATTCATAAAAATGCTTTAACAGCAAAAAAATTGAGACATTCTTTATCTCTGGCTCTAAGGTAGTTAGCGGCTTTTACAACAGCTTATTGGTATTTTTATAATTACACTTCTCTAAAAAGTAATGCATTAACAAAATGATCCCCATAAATTTGATTTAAATTTTCTTTTATTTATTAAAGTATACAATAAACATCAAGTTTTATTTGATACACAGTCCATCTGTTAAGACTGATTTTATTGTGGCGAAGTGCATTGTGCGGTGTATGTGTGGTCAACAGAACTACTAGTGGGAAACCTTCCGAGCGACAACAAAATTTCATCAGTATACGTGTATCTACCACGAAGTTATAACGTTTTGCATGAACCAAGTTTTCGTCATGGAAAATGCACACTAAATGGCATACAGCAATCAAATTCTGTTTTAAAGCTGGTAAAACAGCCACAGAAACATATCAACCGCTACAAACGGCATACAGTGATGAGATGTGTATTACAACTGTGTTTTTGTGGTTCCGGGACTTTCGTGATGGCCAAGACAGCGTGCATGACGTCGAGAGCACTGGATGTCACACAAGCTGAACGTACGAAAACAATGAAGCTGCGCGGTCTGTGCTGAAGTCTGATCGTCAATTAACTATCAGAATGTTGGCAGACCATACACGAATGATCGACGATCAGGCTTCAGCACACAGCTTCGATGTTTTCGTTCGTTTGGCTTGTGCGGACACGCCCTGTTCTCTCGTCATCGTACATGCTGTCTCGGTCATCACGACACCTTCGAACCACAGGAGCACAGTCGGACGTGATACACACTCCTAACCGTACACTGTTTGCAACAGTTTATACGTTTCCATAGCTGTTATACTGGCTTTAAAATAGAACTTGATTGCTGTAGGTTGTTCAATGTGCATTTCCATGACTATGAACTATCAAAAACTTGCTATACGAAAAACATTATATTTATATATATTAAATTTTGTTCGGTCGCTCACAAGGCTTCCCACCATTCGGTTCCCCTGACCGCACTTAGATACTGCCACACACTTCGCCACAATAAAATTAGTCTTAATACTTACTAGCCAGACTGTGTATTAATCCATTTTTAGCATATTTAATCAAGTTGGGAAATCTATGGTATAAATGGTACTGAACGGCTCAACAAAATTAAATCAGTAAAAATATAGAACCGTCAAATACATGCCAATTTTTTTTTGTTTTTGTGAAGAGGAGTGTACAAAATAAATTGAAAATCGTTTTTCCTTGTTAGACAATTCTTTAAATCTATAACAAATCTTTGGTATTCCTATTTTATTTCCATCGTGCCGTAGTCTCGTTTGATCTCATATTAATGAATTTACGATAATTTAAAGAGAAAGTGGTTCCTCATGCTACTACATATTATATATATTAACATTTTTTATGGGAGTTGATTGTAACTCATCTTACTGTTTTGATTTTGAAATAGTAAGATGTTGCTTGTGTTTTCGATGATGCTCTAGATTTTCTTGTTTGAGAGATGTAAACAAGATTATTTTAGAAGAATGCATTTGATCTGTGGTTTTGTTTATGTAAATTTAATATCATTATTTCACACTAAATGTTATTTTAATCACATGCAAATAAATTATGTTATGAAAAGTCACTATTTTCTTAGTAGATTAGAGTACCTGAGGTAAATAATATATCTGATGATAAAATAAAAGTTTTTGACAAAAAATGTCAGTTTTCTTCAATCGTGGGCACTGTTGGTAATACTTATAAGTGTGTGTGATGGTAAGTAGTTAATCTAAATTATCTATTTGTGAATACGTAAATATTGCTTTATTTACTATTTGTATATCGTCTTTGTTATGACTTGGTTGGTATTTACTTATACTGAGTGTTCCGGAAATGAGTGCAAAACGATTTTTTGTATGTACCATGGGATTACCGTCTTGGTTTTCGAATTTAACCATATCTTTTCCAAATAGAAATGTAAATAAGTTTTTGAGGATGCTAAATGCATCAGTTCTGTTAGTTTTTGACCATCTGCTAGAGGTCGCTAGCTACTATCTATTTCTCCCAATTTGTTGAGGTTAAGTTTTTTATAGCATATGTCTTGGTTTCATTTTATAACACCAAAGGTACTCTTATTAAAATCACAGAAACTGCACCAATTTTTAAAGAAATACGATTGACTGTCCCAGTCAACCAAATGCTATGCTTGATATACAGGGTGTCTAGAAATGTATGGACAATAATTCAAGAAAAATTTTCTTTGGTGAAAATATACTGATTTAAATCAAATTACCTAGATTTAAATTTTTTTTTAAATCCCTTATCTTTTTAAAGAGGTAAAGTTGTACCGAGATAAATTAATTTAAATTAGACTATTTTCATTAAAAGAAACTGACCTTGAAATCCTCATTTGTTTCTAGATACACTATATGAAGAAATATCTAGAAGCTGGTTGACTGGCGTTTTTCTTAAAAATCTATGTTTTTGGCAATTTTAATAAGGCTATAGGTACCTTTTTTGTGTACAATGAAATTGTACTGTAAAAAGCCTCACCTCAAAAAAGTTATGTAATAAAATATTACTGGCACAGATAGAGAGATATTGCACATGCAAATAACGTCATGGTATTAATGTCAATGTTATCTTGGCATTTGAGCATGCGCAGATGATGAAGTATGCCTTAATAAGGATATCCTTATTTGATATTTTACATATTTCAGACATAAATGTAGATGTTCGAGATCAGTTGGACCTCAGACGCAACTAAAATGATTTGTTACAACGTTCTTGTATTTGTACAACTGCTATATCTCTGCCAGAATTCTAAACAATGAATACTATATGAATAATGTCGACTGTTTCGGCAATATTCTTCTAGTAGCTACCGATTTCTACAAGGTGTCCAAAAACTAACATCACTAACATATTTAGCATCCTCAAAATTTTACTTGTTATAAATTCCAATGAAATAGATACATTTTTTTATAAAAGATACAGCTAAAAATTTGGTTTCAAAAATTATTTTTCACACCATGCATCCCAAAAATAAAAGGCAGTAAGCCCAAGGTCAATAGGAAAAGTTTTATTTTATGTTTTATCACCTGTTAAATTTTTTGCTCCCATTTTTGCAACACTGTATTTTTACATTAATTTAATTATCAATGGGAATCTTAGTAGAGAAACAAATTTATCTTCAACATATTTATTTTACATTTTCATAAGTAACATTTTTTAACACTTTATATACAATAATTTACAATATATCTACATATATCACAATAAAATCAGTACAATACAATTCTTATTATCTTTTATTTACTAAGGATTTACACCTGTCTTCATTGAAATTTGTATAACTTTGATACTTTGAAGAAACCAGAATAATCCTGATATAGTGAAAAATATTTCGATAGCCAACAATACAGAGGTGTCGATAGCTGTGAAGTCTAATCTTTGTATAGCTGTAACGAGCACCATACATCGCAACAGTTCGAATACGTAAGCATATGGGTGGTTGTCGAGCAGCATTCCTATTGTTGTAAGAGATGCAATTATGTATACCACAAAAATGAAGACAGAAAGTGGATTGAGGCTCTGTAATAAAATAAAATTTATGATATACTGATCATCTTTTTGGAAAGGTATATTAAAAAATTGAAATATGCTCCTCGAATTTAATAATTTTGTTGATTAAATAATACATATTTTAATCATACTGGGAATTGTTAAGTTTTGTTGGAATTGTTTTAATTCTTATGTACAGGATAAGAAGGAAGGTAAGCCATATTTCAGAAACAATTCATAATATATTAATAAATTTCAAAACCCCATTTACAATTTTCTAGAAAATGCCGAAAGTTGAAACGATGTTGCTACTATCAAAGATTTTCCTTACCGTATGGCACGATGCAAGTAATTGGAATCCATACACTACGACACAAAAATGAACGAGAAGGTAGGCATTGCACCAAAATGGTAATTTTACATCATATTTTTCCCTGGCTACCACCTACAACAAATAATCATTAGCTGCATTTCAGTTTATTTACAAAAATTTAGTCAAAAGCAATCCTAAAACTGACACTCCTTTGTACTTACTTTAACTTTGTCCTCTTCTAATCCTAATCGAGGCTTTCCAGGTTGCCAACTTGGTCCATAGAAAATAGCAGCAAATTTATACCTCCAGCTTTCCATACTGTGGAATCTTTCAATAACATATTTAGTGTAGAAAGTCTAGAACAAAAATATTCATCATAAGCCATTATTATTTTTCATTTTTATTTACTTGTAAATGTAGAAGATTGAAAGAAGGTTGATTAAAAACAAGTCCATAGACAATCATTTCATTTTTCTTTTCTGCAGCAAAAGTTCCAAACAAACGGTCCCAAATAATTAAAACCCCTCCATAATTCTTATCCAGACAGTATATGTTACTACCTAAAATAACATTTGTTTATTAATTTCAATTTTATAAGTGCAAATACTAATACTAAAACATTCAATAATTAAATTATTTTAATTACCATGGTGTACTCGATGGTGTTGAGGTGTGTTGAAAATATATTCTAGTGGACCAAGAGTGGTAATTGTTTCTGTATGAATCCATATTTGGTATAACAAATTAAACTGTTGATGAGTGATGAAATGTGCTGGAGGAATAAAAAACGCCAAGGGTAAATAAAACAACTGAAAACAAAAAATTAAATAATTACCTGTTGGTAGATTAATTGTATTTTTTTGTAATATATTGGTGATTTGTGAGGAACCCGCCAAACTCGAGGGATGTACACTCGACGCAAGATAAAGGTTTCCAATCTGAATCGTATTTTGTTTGAAATATGACGGCTTACCGCTTGTCTATATGGGGCGTTCCCATTAAACTCGTGTGGCAATATTTTTTAGTCTGAGATTTTACCGTCACATCTGACATTTTACGAGTTTTGTACAAAAATGCTTTCCTGGTAGATTGGCATTTTTAAAATGGGACTAATCGGCAGTCTTATAGCAGACTCCGTATGCAATTTTTATTATCTTGTTTCTATTAAAAGAGTTGCATTTACATTACAATAGAAAAATCGATTCATCCTAGTTAATAAATCTTGCGAAACGTCAACTACCTACTTACGAATAGTAAGATTGAATGGATTTAAGAAAATTTTTATTTTTTTTAATTTTGAAAACCCTGCAGCTCGGAAACGGCGGCCTTAAGAGCCTACGTATGTGTAACAAAATTTACTTAATTTTTGCCACAGAATGGGCCTCTGGTTTTTCTGTGCGCCATTAATGAACACTGTATAGGTACCCGCAATGAAATCAGTTGAAGTTTCTTAAAATAGTTGTAAAGCATACAATTCTACATAAAAATGGCCTCGACTTTTTCTTGTACTATTAAAATTAACGTTAGGGAAGTTAAGGGAAGATTTCAGAAATTTAAAAAAATCATAAGCAGAAAAATGAATGAATTTTGTAATTTTTTTTTTCAATCTACTCAAAAAAATGTAACTTTTCTTTTCAGAGAAATTGATATAATTTTTAATAAGAAAGTTATATTAATTTAAAATTTTTAATCGTTAATTTTAATGATGTAAAAAAACTAAAACAATTTTATTTTCTATACTATTCGATTGATTATTTAAAATAATGAAAAGTTGCCTTCGAATATTTTTTACGTTTGTTTTTAGACACAAATTTATTTACCTTTTTATATTTTAAATTTTATTTAGCTCCTACGACACTGCCAGGACAAAGATAAAAAATCACGTTCGCTTTGTCGCACTCATAGTACCGGAATTATTTCGTTTGCTATTGTCAATGCGCGTGCGTCAGTCATAGACCTAGTAAACTAAAGGTCTATGGTGTCAGTAAACATGTGTTTCTTTAAATTATTGTATTAGACCAAGCAAATTAAATTTTTACTCGAAAAAAGTCCTATCCGCTAGATTATTGTAAAATTGTCTAAAGGAACATAATACAAGATATCTCTCGTCTCGTGAGTCAAAAACTTTTATTAGCTAACTTTTCTATTTAAACAAATAAGTGAGGAAAACAGTTTTTTCACTTTGCAGGGAAAACCATCAATTTTAGCGAAAAGTGACTCACAGACAGCTTGTAGGGAGTAAAATTATCTACAAAATGAGACTTGTTAAATTAAAATCGGTTAATAAACAAAAAAGTTATTCCAAAAAAACAAAAGTGCCAATTTTTTCATTTGTTTATAACTATCGCATTTATTGTTAAAATTTTATAAAATCTATGACAAGTTGAGGGTTTTGTCATACTTTAAAAGTGTGCCAAAAGTGGGCGCTGTAGGTGCAATAGTTTTCGCACAATTCTATTTGTTTATAGCGGAGGCTCCAAAAGTTATGAACTTTAAGCCTCTGTACAGGCGTTAATTTTCAATCAAACATGTTTCTGAAAGCGTCATTGTAATCTTAAAGACGCAATTAAGCGACCTATTAAAAAATATCACCGTTTTTTTTGACATTAACATTCTCAAATTGTGCATTAAAAAACCGTGCGTTTTTCGCTTATAAACAATTTGAATATATCAAATAATATATATAATATTTCAATATCTTAAATCGTTTTCGAAGTATTTAGAAAAACAGGTTTTTTTTTAAATTTTACATCAGAAATTTTTTTCAATTTTTTGTTGTTTCACACGTGCTTACACAAAAAAAAATATGACACGCCCCTAATTATTGATGCCTCCCAAAATTCCTATTAACAGTCCACTGGCTCGCCCCTATAAAAGTAGTATGCCTTTTAGGTTGGAAACCTTTATCTTGCGTCGAGTGTACATACGTAGTTATTCTGCATGTAAGATAATTTAAACTAAAAAAAATTTCTGATTTAAATTTTTTTACGGTGAATTCGTGACCCGAACTGACAAAGGCAGGTAAGGCATGTATAGGATCCTAAAACATGGTTTACTAAGTATTTTCGTTTATCCACCAGATTGCGCTACACTTGGCAAAAAATTTATATTTTTCAAAATACCTATTTGTTTTGTCCAATTTATCTGAAATTGCATTTACAAAAATAGGAAAACTGTCCCCAATCCTAAACAAATATGCTCATATTTTTTTTTTTTTTTTTTTCAGATGGTGTTACAACTTTAGTATTTATTTTATCTTAATTGTACAGGGCTATATCAAGTATTTTCTCTCATGCAAATATAGGCTACATGCCCCAACTAACATTGAATAATCATAATTATCTTTTTAGATGAAAATGATATCTAAATGTTATTAATACAAAAACAAGTACCTGACATTGAAACGGTTATATAACGTGATCTTTCGAAGGGTTTCAGAGTTGTTTGAAAGATACTAAATTTTTTGTCAAATTTAACGCCATCTAGCCTCTAAATGAAGTACAATTGGTCCATTATAAGCAACTGCCTTGTATTGATTCATTTATGAATCCCTGTATATCCCTGTATATAAATAAATTTTCATTCCTTGTTGTTTGTTGTAAAACAGCCTGCATACAATTTTCTAGCAAAAGTAAAATATAAGTATGATGATTTCTATTTTTCTTTTTCAAAAATAAATTAATAAACACATTTGATTTATTTACCAATAACATGTCTGATAAGAGTTTAGCAATAACACATCAGTTATAGCAACAATTAGGCACTTTCCATCATCATCCATAATATAAAAATATATAATTAAAAATAGATATACTTACAAATCCACACCATCCTTGTAGTAAGGATTGTCTTAGACCCACAGCAATATTAAATTCTTCAGAACTATGATGTACCTGATGTTGGGCCCACAATATATGTATTTCTTAAATAAAAAGAAAAATACTAGAATTTATAGAGGGTTTAGCCTCTTCTAACAAGATGTTCGAGGCATGTTAATTATTTGTATGTATTTGCATATTCGGCAATATATACTTACCATGGCATGCTCGGTGCACCCAATAATAACAGAAGTCTACTCCTATAGCTGCTAAATACCATGTAATTGGATAGTCCCCAGCTAAGTCCACCACACGGTAATTCTCGTACAAGAAAAAATATGCATAGCTCTCGGCGCCTCGAAACAGTAATCTGAAAAATAATCATCAGTAATTAATTGATATTATCAGTCTACAGTACATACTTCTCATTTAAATGATTAATTAATTAGTAAATAATTATCTAATTTATTAATAAAGATTAATTAATTGTATGGTTTATTAAATGTTAAAAAACAATAGAAGATAACTTAAAAACAGAGTGGAGATACTCATAATTTTTTCGGGTTAAAATTAAGCAACTATCAAATTCAATACTCACTTTCCAGAATGTTGTATCAGTCCATGGGACAGACTTGTTAAGCTGTCATTGAGTCTATATGTCGGTTTCTTATCTGCCCATAGGACTATATTCTCTATGATCATGAATAATAAGAAATATGGCCAAGCCTGAAAAAGAATATAACCGTTAGGTATATATTGCTTTATTACAGCAGTAAAGAATATTTCATATTTCATCTACTTCTAAAATGTTAAGTGCAATTTTCAAAGCGGCTGCATAAATATTATTTATGAAGAAGTTGTCTCATTTATACATTTCTTAGTCCTTTGCTGTTATAACTAATTACGTAAAAGAGCATGTCTTTAGTACTATATTTTCTTTAAATAAGTATCGATAGGTAATAGCAGTTTTAATACATGTATAACTTATAGTAATATACACAAGGACGTATTGTGGTAGCGAATACATATATTTCAAAAAGAGATTGATTATTAATAACATCGATTTTAAATTCCTTAAGATAATTAAAGGACAGATACCTATGTACAATCAATTCGCAAAACTGTTTTACTAATAATAAGTTATTGGGTTTGTTTCTGCAGGAGTCTCAAACCATTTTCAAATTATCAGATACACTCGACCACTTAAGTTGTTACATAATTGTGCATATGTTCACGTATCGATTGGCCAAATATCTCTGATAGTTTCAAATCATTCCTCAACTGCTGCAGAAACAGACCTATTATGTAAATAATGAAGACTAAGCGCTAGCAAGAAAGGTAAATTTTTTGAAAGTTGAAAAAAATATATGTAAATAAATAAATTATAAACTTCACCAATTTCATTTGGTCAGTGAGATGCGCAAACATAAGAGAGCGCACACTACATACAGGCTGTTACAAATTCGCTACTCACTACAGGGATCTCGAAAACGGTAAGAGATACAAACTAGCTTAAATGGGGGCAAAGTTGCGTAATCAGGGGACCAACATTATGCCTAAAAAATCAAAGCTAACATGATTAGTTTTGCGTGGTGGTAATAGTTTAAATAACTAGATGGATTTCACACGGCCTAACGACACTTACAGTGTACAATAATTCAATAAACAAAGAAATCTCAATAGAAAATTTAGTTAGATAAATTTGGAACGAATACACTGAAGATGAATTTTTCGAGACAAAACTGAATCAATCATGAAGGCTTGCAAAAAATGTAATAAAATGTCTAGGGTCGTAGGGTATTTAAAAAAATTAAGTTGATGATGGTCCTGGAGAGACGAAACGTCACATATAAAAATTGATTATGCCATTGGACAGAGGGCAAAAAGTGGCCATGAAAAAGTGTTCTTCTTTTTTCAATATCACCTCAAACAAGGCTGAAATGAAACAAAATCGGATTTCCAATATTTCGGTTTTTTTCAAATATTTCGAAAACTAAACATGTTAGCCTTGATTTTTTAGAGGCATAGATGACAAGATGAAATAAGTTGAACTAGGATTGAGGTAGGTACTTTATACCATCACTATACACAAGTCTTTTCGTTAGTTTATTAAAATGGAATTCATTTTTATCAGGTGAGAGATTTTGGTGATACCTACATGTATCGGGATTTTGGAAACAAGTTTAAGAGATAGAGAAATTATTAAAATGGAAGAAATGGAGAAAGTTTCAGACCATTTTGATATATTTTAGAAAGAAATAGACTTCAACTTTTTATCTTTACAAATTAACATTTGTAAAAACATTATAAGGAGCTATCATCATTTCCTTTGCAATTTACTTTTTTGTTATTTTTTCATTAAATTGTTGAATTCTTTGACACCACACATTGTTGGAAAGCTTAAAAAACATTTTTTTTATTCAACATATAGCATTCATTATGGTGAAAATAAGAAAAGAGATAAGGAACCACGACGTTGATACATCATGAATTCGTAGTGAAATTCTTTGCGTACCAACTGGTAGGGTCCGGGGAATCCCATGAGCCCGACCACGATTCGCGGTCCAGCCCCGATATCGGCCTACCTCCGATTTCGGGTGTCCCGGAACATGGAACCGTTCACGGGGCGATCCAGTACAATCAGCATTTCTACGAAATGGTACTCAGCGGGAGCAATGCGCATCTCGTTCAGGTGCCATAGCGTGCGAAAACCCCTTGGCCTACTATGTCGTAGGTGACGTGGCCGGCTCTTTTCACCTAAGCAATTCTGGTACATCGCCCGTCCGCTCTCATGATTTTCCCCGAACATTCGATCACCGCCTAAGTGGTCCATATCTAGAAAGTCTAACCCGACACGGCGCTCGACGTGGGACATCATTGTCGAGATCTCCCCCATGAGCTCGCGTCATAGACACCACGTCTGTAAGACATATCCACCACAGGCCACAGTCCTTTGAGAATCTAGCACGACCTGGCGCCCAAAGTGGAGCTCGAATCTCTGTTTCGATGTCTCCGCCACGAGCCCAGGTTACCGAATCTCCCCAAAATTCACATTTATTAGGCACTTTCGGTCATAGTTCACGACATGGCGCCCAACGTGGGGCTCGATTTGAACTTCCGATGTCTCCACCGCGGACCCATGTCGATGATACCAACCAAATCGATCATAGATTACGACATATGATAAAAAAGTATTAAGAGTTTACTGTTAGCTGAGAATACTCTTTTAGTCATATCCTTCCTCCTTCTTATATCTGTTTCTGCAGCAGTTGAGGACCGATTTGAAACTATCAAGAGATACTTGACCTAATGATTCGTAACCTGCTTGGACCCGCTGAAAGTACGTGACAACTGATATTTTGAAAGCAGTTGGAGATTGCCGTAGAAACAAACCTATTTTTTAGAAATAAATCTATCGAATCTAGAAAGCATTATATTATATACAGGGTGATTCAGAACTTATCAAAAAAAAATTCTGGATGTACAGGGGACCCTTACAAATACAATTTTGTATAGAAAAAATCAAAAAAGGCAGTTCGAAAATGATTTAAAAATACACTTCTGCACGGCACTGGAAACTGGTTCACTGTAAAACCTGACCTCGCACAATGCGACCGGCATGGCGGTGTGATAAAAACGGACAAAAACCTTCGCAACGAAAGAAATGTAAATAGAATTTTATCGCACCTATTTTATATCGAAATTCAACTGCTATTGCCCTTATTAATTAATAAAATTACTTTGTGTTTTTAAATAATAAAATCATTTGACATACCCGATGTTACAACAATTGTTCAAAATTTTATCCACCAACGTGTAAACACATTTGGGTCCGTTGTACTCAGATTCTACGAACTAACACAAATGTTGTCTTGCTTCACCATAACACAAATGCTTCACCATAAATTAAAACGGTATCCATCAACTCCGAGTTGCTATACCTACACGCAAACCATTTTTTACACTAACTACTAAAACCTTTTGTAAACACCACTATCGCAACGACCGATTGCAAAATCCGATTTCAGTATTCGGAGTCGCTGAGGCCACGTGGCGAATGATGCTAAAGACTACAGTTGTCCAGCTATGTAGTGGGTGAATGTACTATAACTTCAATATTTTTTTCTCGGAAACTATAAGGATTTTACAAAAAATGTTTTTACAATATTGATTCCATTTCTCGTGCTGCATCTAATTCCCAAATTTTTTTGGATAAGTTGTGAACCACCCTGTATATACAAGGTCTTCTATTTAAAGAAAATCCGAAATGCAACATTGAATTGTTTTTCTAAGTACAGTTTTGAAATCGCAGGAAAATTTCCTACAACTTTAGCCCATACTGTTTAATGTTCTTCTTTTTATTATGAAAATAAAAAAGTTAAGGGAGTAGAATCTATAATGGCGTAAACAGATTTTGTTAAAAAAAAATGGCTAATATGAATAATTAAAACTATACTTCTAAGCCAGCTTTGGATTTGTATGAATATAGCTCTTTACTCAAAAAATTCTATTCATTAAGCTCTACAATTTAAAAAAACTCGGGAATACATGGGTCACCTGTACGAACATAATCTTTAGTGCACAATCTAAGAAATAGAATTTAAAACAATTTTTATAATAAATTTTTCTTCAAATAACAATATTACTGTAACCTTCAGTAAACACTTCTAATAATTTTAAGGAAACAATTAAAAGTTATAAATTATTTATGTAAATAATACATTCTCTTCCGTTTAATAATGCATGCATCATGTTAATTAAAGATGATAAATCTTGAAATCTTCCTGCATTCTGACTAAAATTAAAAATGAATGTAAAATATGCTAGATATAAAAAATGTTTGTGATTTATGATTGACAATGTTATCATGTTGGCAATCAATTGAGGAAGTGCATTACATTTTTAGAAAATCATTCAGTTTTCTTTGAGGAATTTCCTTTCGAGATTAAACTGAAATTTAGGATTTATCAGTCATACGCAGTTAACGAAACAATTGCTAATATTTACCAACTAAGCTTACGTTATAATAATGATTTGATAATCTCTGTTTACTGTATTTATTCTTAAGCAAGTAGGTAACTAGAGCAAGTGCAATCAAGATTTGCATCATAATGCAAAATGTTAACTAGAGCGTTTATTTCAGCGACAAATTCAAATGTAAGTACTTATAATTACATTTTTAAGCGAAATGAAAAATCTATCTAATAGATACAATAACTGATTACCACGACAGTATTTTGCACCAACTTAAATACTTAAGAAATATGTAGCAAAAAATCCTCAGCATTGTATTTGTATCCGTTTTGAAAAAAAAAGTTGTTTTATTTTTTATTAACTTGATGTAAATCAAGCTGACTTGACACACAGCTTTAATTTTTGGGTTTCCATGAAGTGTGTGCATATAGGTTTGTTACATACAGGGGTATAATTCCAGAGGCGGACTTGGTAATTTTTGTTATCAATTTTTTTTCTTCCAAAGTATTTCAAACATGACAAAGCATTATCACAGCCTGTGAAGATATTACAAAAATCTTGCTGCGTGTTGTACAATGCATGTTGCATAAAACGTCACATTATTTTTTAAATAAAAATCATAATTCAAGTAACAATGGAATAAAATATTACTTACATAGTTTCCTTAATTTATTTTTTGCAATTTGTAAAATAAGCCATTCTTATTCATTTTTAAGACCCTGTATCTCGAAAGCGTTTCCGGATACATGTTTATTATTTTTTTTTATTAATTTGGAATCTGCCATCAAATATTAATCGGTCGTTTTAATTACACCCTGTGTACTGGGTTAAGTTATGACCCTTTTTTTATTGTGAGCATGAAATATATTAAAATACTAAACAATATTATTAATGTATCTTTGCCATAAATCACTTGGTATATGTAATACTGTCTCACGGTAATATTAAAGGAAATTTTCAATTACTAAAGATGCTAATAAAACAGTGCGATAGTGTTGCTTGACTCACATTTTTAAAGTATTCAGGTACTTCATTTGGATCACTAAACGTTGTTTCGGATGGATCCACAACATAAAACATCTGTCCCAGTCCTTTGAGAAAGTTCTTGATTGCTGCATTATCAAACGCATCATCATCTTCTTTGGATAATTGTATAAACACAGAGGTTATCGGTTCACAACCGTTGTTACTACTAAGAGAGGAATAACTATCCATCTTAAGACGATTTTTAAATCTTCAAGTCAATTGTTCCTTTAAAGTAAGATAACTGAACAATCTAGTGCACATCTGTTGGCAACAACCCAAAGATTTTATTTTTAGTTCTACCGGCACGTTACTATATTGTTTATGGTTTATCTGATAAAAATACTTTGATCAACATAGTGCAAGCCTGCTTTATATTAAGAATTCTTGTAAACAAACTGAATGAGAGGTGGGGTTAATTTATACCTAAGCATTCTAAAAGCTAATCATCTAATCTTAATGAATTGCCGGTTCGATATACCACGATATATTTCATAATTGGACGATTAGCTAGTGAATGTATTGTTTGTGTCTTACTTTCGCGGATTACAATAATAATTTATTATAGCTATGTACAAACCGATTAATTTTTCTGCGCGCTATTAATGCGTTCTCAATTAAATTTTTTTTAAAATAAGTATATATCTCGCTATCTCATTATTTTAAGCCCTATATCTATATCGTAAATTAAAAATATTTATTATGTCTGGGTATTGCTTCATTTCATCCATAAATTACTTCAAAATACCTATCCTACCTTATCTATTAAATAGATAAATCTTAAATTATTTAACAAGTTTTCCGTTATTCAAAAGGATGTCCCGCTAACAACCATGTCCTTAACAAAATTTCGTAATACTGTCAAATCTTTTCTGTTAAAACATTGTTTTTATAGTGTTGATGAATTTATGTGTTTTAATTAATGTAAGCCATAACCACATAACATATAGGTACTTTGTGTGTTTGTATAATATTATACTATTATTGTGACTTCAAATATACTTTTTTGTATATAAAGTGGTCAATTAAAAAGTAAGTAAGTAAGTAAGTACTAGAGATTTTATTTTGTAAAGAAATCAAATTATAAAAAATATTAAATTTAATGTTAAAATATGTAACATTAAAAAAATAATGTTTAATAAAATATCTCTGAGGATTTTTTACTTGGATTTATACTAAAAGGACGACAGTGCCCGCGGAAATTAGCATTGGCTGGAATATTAATTATTTTCTTTTGTTGGCAAAAAATCTTTCCGGCAGCACTGGAATTGCCCTGCAAAATAGCATATGAAATGCGCGAATGAAATAAGCTAATAGACACAAAATATCATAATTGAGAAACCCACGCAACTGTAATTTAAAAAAATAATGTTTAACAACTTAGCGATTATTTACATGATCTTTCCAGAGTAAATCTGTATCGATATCCACTCCCAAAACATGTAATGAACTATGATTATTATTATTATTGTTATTATTATTAATTATTATTGTTATTTTGGCCTTTTTATTAGACAGAAACTATAGCTGTGTTTTATTTAGATTGTGAGTTAAATTATTTGCTAGAGTCCATCAAGAATTCCACACCGATATTTCTATTAAACAGTGTGGCATGATCGGTAAAGAAAATGTATTTTTCGGAGACATAAAATGTATTAAATCATTTACATAAATTAAAAATAAAACTGGTCCTAGTACGGAGCCTTGTGGTACTCCGATTAAATATCAGAGTTAATATTATTACAAACTGTTTAGGATTGTTTAAATGTTATTACAGTAATAAAGCTGGAAGTCCCTTTACTACATAATATTTCATTTTTTTAATTAATATATCATGTGAAACATAGTCGAAAACCTTAGATCACAAGCCGTAATAGCACGTGAACAATTTTTTGTGAAATGAATAATTTTATATCAGTGTGAAAGATCTTTAAAGATTATTTTATTTTATTTATTTTACAGTTTAGGGAATACTACAGGTTTTAAACCCAAAACAGTTTCCACAAATTTTGTTAATAAAAGATGGAAAATATCTTAATGTATCAAATGCATAAAAAAACAAAAAATATAGTTGAACAGAATATAGAGAACACAGTACTACAAGGTATAAGGTTAATAATTGTGATATTTGTATAAGATTAATTGTGATATACAGGGTGTTAATTAAGTATGTACAATAAATTCAGCAGGCGATTATTTGAGTGATTTTAAGACAAAAAGTTCATATAAACATTGGTCCGCAGATCCTTCGTTTTCAAGATACAGGGTGTTAAACTTTTGTAGAAAAATTACTATTTCGTAAATACCTTAAACACCCTTTACCCAATTTTGTTGTAATTTGGCCGTTATTTGTAGTGTTAAGGGGCTAATTTAACCCTAACTCGATTGGATTTGTTTAAGTCCAGTGGCGTCGCGAGCGGTACCTTAACGAATATTTTTAATAACGTTTCTTGTGTGGTCCAGGGATATGCAGTTAAGTGGATTTTATTTTTTTTCTCCAAAAATTAATCAAGATACGAAAAACATTCAAGAGACAAAAAAAGTTGTATTTTTAGTTGCTTAATCCAAAAAAATATAAAAATTACAAAAAAGTCAGTAGCGTACATTTTTTTGTCAAAAATATTCGTTAAGGCACTGCTCGGGACGCCACTGGAGTTAACAAATCTAATCAAGTTAGGGTTAAATTAGCCCCTTTACACTACAAGTTACACTGCCAAATTACAACAATATTGTGTAAAGGGTATATAAGATATTTACGAAATAGCATTTTTTTTACTAAAGTTTAACAACCTGTATCTTGAAAACGAAGCATCTGCGGACCAATGTTTATCTGAACTTTTTGTCTTGAAATCACTCAAATAATCGTCTGTTGAATTTATTGTACGTTCTTAATTTACACCCTGTACATTTTAACTTCTTTACACAACACCCTGTATCTCGAAAATCGGTCTCTTTGGTTTAGACTGATCTTGGAAGCAATACCTTACTGAAACTGCGACATAGACTTGGAAAAAACTCTGTATATCTCATAATGTCAGTAAGACAACCTATTATTTCATATTAGAACGATTTCATTCAAATTCTTGAACACAAAATTAAAATTTTTCTATGGGACGACGTACATAACAGTACTTATAGGTGTGAACTGTGAACATGTGTTTATATTTGTTTATTATTCTTTATTGAATTCCATATAAATATGTTTATGTTTACATATTATATGCCAAGTATTATCATGTTTGACCTTTATTTCTTTTCCTTTATCATCAAGACATTTAATAAATAGTTCCATTCTTTTCTAAAAAAAAACAACTTTTGGTGGTAGTTATGACCCAGCGTGTCCGATGAACTTTGAAGGTTACAGGTACATACATCAGAGAACTTTTGTTCTCTGAAAGAGAAAGAAACTGTTTAATCCTAACAAAATGTACTAAATAGGTTCCAGAAGGTTTAGTTTATAGCAAAAAATATTTTGCAAAAGGAACCTACCAGCTTTTATAAAGCTTTTTGTTAAGTTTTTATTTATTGCTGAAAGTTCGTTATGTTATTTCAGTATTTGTAGTCCAATTTTTTACCCCATCAAAAATTTTAATTTGGGTTGGTAGGTTTTCATCGTAGGACGATGATAGCAATGCCAACAAATATCTATTTTTTTAGTTTAAATAATTTTTTTATTAAATAAGTGACTTTTTAGACACTAATAAGTGATTTTCTTGGCATAACTTTGTGCCCGTATTTTGTTGCAATTATTATTTAAAATTCCTCTCAATATTTAAAAATTTACAAGCAAAAAGAAACACCTACAATTGTGACAACCTTATACATCTCTCGCCTTTTACTTTTAATTTTTTGAATATAAAAAAAAGCTATAAGCCAAAGTTGACAACTTGAGGAATTACACAAATAGGTATGCTACTCCTTCATATGTGTATATTAATCTTCTTTTACATAATATTTTTTCCCCTACATAATGTGTACCACACACAGTTAAATTTTTGTAGGTTATTATTCGTGTTACTGATATACAGGGTAGCCCATCGAAAACGTACCGCAAGGCATTACAGGGTAGTAATGAACTTTTCGGCAAAATCCAAAAACAGGTAAAGTTTGCTTCTGAGGGGGACAACTTTTGGCGCAAAAAGCATAGCAAAATCTTCAACCCCCTAAGTGGGGGTGCCATCCCCCAAATTTTTTTAAATGGGAATGGGGGTCAAGTGGGGGGTCATTAGAAAGGGCTTTTAATTCTCTATACATCGATTCTTACTTTTTGAAAATCGATCCATTATTTTAGAAAATATGCAGCTTTGAAAATACGAACAATATTTTTGACGAGAAATGCGAAAATCGATTTAATTTTACTTCAAAACTTACGGTATTAGCTTGGTAAATTCCTTCAAAAGAATTCGCTGTTTTTTTTTTCTGATTTGCGAATTCTTTAGCCTGATTTTGGTGAGCAAAAAATTGTCCGCTTTTTGTTTCGTATTTAGATAGGCCACAAGAAGTTGCTAGATAACTGTCTTGTGACTTGTAGTTGAAGAGTACCAATACTGCCGAGTCTTTTAAATTGATTAATTATGGTGTACTCAATTCCAGAAAGAGTAGAAATTATTGAGCTTTTTTTCAAAAACAATGAATGCGGAAATCGGGTCGCCGAACTGTTCAACCAACGGCATCCTGAGAAACATGCGTCTGGAAAAATTGTTCGCGAATTGGTGGCCAAATTTCGCGAAACTGGCTCCGTTCATAACAAAAAGAGGCAGGTTGAAAATCCGGTACTAAATGAACCTACGGAAATAGCGGTATTGGGGCAAGTGGCAATGGATAGTACGCTGAGTACAATGCAATTGGCTACTGCGACAGGAGTGAGTCGTACAAGTGTCCAACGAATATTAAAAAAATACAAATTCCATCCTTATAAGATTCGGCTAGTGCAAGAGCTAAATGAAGACGATTTTGATCGTCGTTTGCAATTTTGCGAAATAATGACTGAACGAGCGATAAACGATAATTTCCTCTTTAATGTGTGTTTTTCGGACGAGTGTACGTTCTTCTTGAATGGTTTAGTGAATCGCCATAATTGTCGTTACTGGGCTGATACCAATCCAAGGATTTTCCATGAGACACACTCCCAACACCCCCAGAAGTTGAATGTATGGGCAGGTATTTTTGGAAATTCCATTGTAGGTCCTTTTTTCCTTCCTGGAAATTTGACAGGCGATATGTACTTGGATTTACTACAAAATGTCATCGACCCAGCTCTAACAAATATCATAGAGGACGACCCTGCTTACAATGAACACGAACTGATTTTCCAGCAAGACGGAGCT